AATTTATTACATAACATTTTTTTTCGTTAATTGTTCGAGAACGATAAATATCTCGAGTGTGACGTTCTCTCCGAGAAAGTCCGATTGTAGAAACAGTTATTGAAAAATGACACGGCACAGAAGTGAAACAGAGCGACTGTGTTATTACACGATCTTCTTGGCTCGTGCATTTCGTTTGCAACGGCTCTTCTTCTAAACGCGAGAGCTCGAATTCGAGTATCGTTCACTTTCGGAGAATCGCGACATACCGGGGGCGCGCACGGTCTTCGCGGGAATCATTGAGCGCGAAATTGAAGTCTCGCCGGGACCCGTGCCCCGCCTTAATTCGGGGGCCCCCGAGTCTGAAGGCACGCAATAATCTTCGTCTCGGAATCGCGCCGGCGAAGTGTACACGGCGATAGCAGTCATTATTTCGCGGTTTTGTAAGAGATCCGCGGCCGACATTATGCAATTTAATGACGAGCCTCTTTAATTCGCCTCAAATCCGCTGAGCGCGGGCATGAATTTTGTATGCGATTTGTAGAACGAACGACGCGATTCTAAAGCTGTTGATAATTTTGGATCGTTTGTATAAAAGAGAGTATATAAGTTATAGTAATTAAGAATACAGACTTAAAAACACTAACTTTGTTATATGACGGCCTGCGTGGTAAACTTTAATTCATGTTTTATCTTTCCCTTGTCTGATCTTTAATCTATACTCATTTTATAAAAAATATATACACATACACGTGAAAGCAATGTAACTCGTAATCCAGGTAAACAAAGCATGATGCTAACCTTACCGAAATGAAGACTCCGAATGTTTTCGCCATGGTCCTTTTCAACAATATAAAACAGCGCGATTGTAAGTGTTTTCGAATAGACCACTTTTCGAAGAAATGTTTACATGTTAAAGACAAAGCACGTTATCATCGCATATTTTCGTTCGCGCGCGTTAAAACAAGGTCGTTCGCAACCGTGCGCGTACTACGCTCGAATGGCACCCGCCTGAACACGCGATCACGTGACACTCGTGCGAAGCTGCGATAATCGATAGGTGAAATCGATTGGTGCATAATTGCGCGTTACCGACATGTACAAACTCCAATAAACTCTCTTAAATTAATTATAATTTATATAAATTCTTATAAACAGTTATCAAAAACTTTTTGCATAAAATAATGAAGATATTTTTCTATTTAGGTTTAAAATAAATTTATAATAAATTCTAAATTTATTAGTAAATTTTCTTTCTTAGTTTTAATTTCTAAATTTATATTATTCAAAAATGTATAATTTGATGATATTTGTTGTATGCGTATTTTCTTTTTCACGTTTTTTTTTTTTTTATAATAGTATAGAACAGAACTAAACCAATTCGACTTTATCTACTCGATTGTTTCGCGGATATGACTATGTAGTTTTCAAATCGCGCACATTGCGGCGCACAAAGCAGGAACACGAGCAGAGACTACAATTGCGTTCACATGCAGATCGAATTTTCTAAAATTATGTCTCATGCGAATGAAAGAAAATCAGGACGGAATCGCTCTTGTTTATTTGTAATTAACTGACCTTTTATACTTTTTTTTGAACTGCATGTGACCGCATCTTTATTTTCTACCAGAGAGAAGCTTGAGAGCTTTATATTATATAGATATGTTAAGAGAATATATAAGAGAAGTTAAATTCAATTTTTCTTCGAAGAATTTAAAAACTTCAAAGCATTTAAACAAAGTTAAAGAAATGTAATAGTTAAGAACAAGTTTAGAAAGTTGAGAGACAATGTAATACTTAAAATAACATATGTAAATATTCAATAACACATAAAAATTAAATGAGTACAAAGAATATTAATAAAAACATCACACACAAGTGTTAACATAATAATTTATATATACCTATTTATATATATCACCATTAAATTTATAGAAAGATAGCGAATAAAGAAAATCACTTTATGATGTATGATTGTCTTTATTTAGGCTATCGGAAATCAGTGCGATTAATATAGACGGACACTACGCATGCAATATACAAATTGTTCCTTTTAGCTCTATTGAATCTAGATATATATATCTCTGTATAAATTACATAGATTACATATTTATAATTACATACATTTTCTAAATTATCAATATGCATACAACATATAAAAAAAAAAACACTTTTTTATCTAAAAGGAACAAGTAATAAAAATTAATTTTATAACTCATATTTGTGCGGTCCCTTCGTCGTCCACCGATGTATCTTCCTCTCCACAACCTTCGGCCTCCCGAGGAAGTTACCCCAACAGAGTTCTCGTTCTGTCCCACGTAGTCGTAGCACATTTTATCACTCGCGACGCGGAAGACGCGAAATATACACAATATACACACGCGAAGTTTAAAATTTAATACAGTTCAAAGTTTGGACTTTTTCAAAGTTTATATTTTAATCACTACCGAATGTTTTTGCAACTCGAATTCGTGAAAACAAAAACTTAAATTTGCAACTAAAAAATATTTTTATAACGGAACGAATATTTCGGTTTATTTTGATGTGTGATCCATTATTTGCGTACTATAGTTACGCAAAGGCTCGTGCGTGTTGGCCCCGCAGTGTATCACTGCGAAGATTTTCTCACAGTTCAGTTATGTGAGAATTATTTTGCTTTATTTTCAAGCGCGAAGTATGATATATTTATTATAAATCGTACGCTAAAAACACGTTTGTGATTTTATACAATACGCGTACAACTTCAAAATATTGCGAATTTAAATTGAGAACTTAACCATGGCAAATACGTATATAAAAAAACTTAGACTTAACACTTTAATAAAAATAAAAAGCTATCTCGACAGATAATAATTAAATCTCAATAATAAATAAAAAATTGATTGTCTTTAACGTTATTTTCTTCTCTCACGATTTTTAAAAACACAGGAATAGATAATTTTTCGTGATATATAATAAAATAAAAAACGATAAAAATCGGAAAAACAGTAACAAAAACAAAACTCCCGCTTTGGTAGAGATTGAAACATCGAAAACGAGTAATTTACAAAAAACAACAAATAATATATCAAATAAAATTATATTACACTGACATATATAACAGATTTTATTTAAAAAACGATAGAATGAGAGTTTTTCCGTTTCTTTCATTTGACTTTGTATATAGATTTGAGCATAAGTGTTATTTATAACTTGTTGTTAAAAAACATCCATATTTTTTATGAATTTAAAATGTAACACAATTGCACATATATCAGAACGGAATATATTCAAATTGTATGTGTGTGTTCGATGTTTCAAAACTTATAAAAATAAATATCTACACGCGGTTCGCACTGATTTCGAACTATCACCATAACCCTAAAGTGTACTCACCGAGCGCTGGCCACTTTCCGCTACACATCACTCTGTAACAAAAATAAAATTTTCTCTTTATTGGATGTAAGATAGTTTTTAACGTTTATTATAAACATCAAACTATATGTGTGACTTTTTAATATATAAAAATGACTATAAAAACAACATACCTTCGTGCCAGCACCCTGTTGCCTGTTGTCTTCTCTAGAACCGCAAACTCTTTTTCTCTATGTAAACAATCGTCTGCACCTGAAACAACAAAAAATATTAATAAAGTTAACTTATAAGAGAAATTATTAAATCTTTAAATAAGTTAGAGATGAATAACTAAGATTTAAAAAAAGAGACATGTTGTATTTTGTTTTTAACTTGTAAATACAACACTGACCTTTATACTGTCTTGAAATGGCCCGAACCGAATGACGATGTACACTGCGCGTCGCGTTCCAAGTATTTTCCTCCTGTTTACTTCTCTTTACTCCCACCTATTTATTTATATATTGTATTATAACATACTCTTTACGATATATATCAGAATTGTTAAACAATTGTAAGATATAAATTAATATTTGATGGATTTCAGTGTGTTGTAAATATAAACTTCGAATATAATTTTGCATTTGAATTTTACTTAGACAAAATCAATTGTGCGATTCACAAGAACTTTAAAATAATAATATTATTTTATATTACTAGATAGTGTCATGTAAAAAGATGTACCTACTTGATAGCATTTCGGTCCTGTTTCGCAGATCATTCAATTTGCTCGACGAACAACCGCGATATTATTTAATGCAAATTATGCGTCAATATTTACATCCGTTCCTTTGCGACACAAGCGAACTACGGATATTCGCGCGCGAGACGATAATAAACGTAAAAAATAACGACAATTTGAATGTATTTTTCTGTGTTGCGCGACGACCAATTGCTGTCTCACAAAAGCACGAACGACTGCGAAACAATTATCATTACCGGCGAGTGTGCGATATTAATTACGTATTACAGACGCTCGACACTTTGTAGCACATACGTATTGCCGATATTTACGCGCGAGACGACAACAATCGCGATAAATATCTGATTAATTGAGAAAAGAAGATCCGCTCCGCGTCGCGCGTCCACTACACTTGTTCGTCTGCCGGAATGTATCGAATGTATCGAAGCGCGCGATATTGCGATTCTCGAAATCGCGTGTGATGGCGCGCGCAATTCGAATGCTCAAAAGCGATAGAAACATCAGAATCTGACGAATCAGTTTAGCGAAAAGTTTTATTTTTACAAAGCAAATAGCAGCAAATGACGATATAAAAGAAGATGATACCCGAATTAAATTCCACGAATTCTGATGCTGCTCGCTAAACTTTTGTCTTTTTTGACAATCATATACGTATATAAATATACATATGTGCACGGAATAGAACCGCACGGTTGTGGACGTAGCACGGAATAGAACCATGTCCACCTTTGAACATAACGTACGTACCGACAAGTCGATCGTGGACGTGGCTACGTAGTTGCCAATGTGCGCCACTCATGGACATAGCGCTGGCATAAACAAAGGGAGGCAAAGCTATTACAGTTTATCTATGGTCTTGGTCGCGCTCTCAATCTTCTTTTTAGCACAAGAAACGTTTCGAAGTAGCGCAATGTGGATCGCACTCTGTCATTATCAGAGCGAACCTGACCCGAGCAGAAAGATCTTGGGTCGCGTTAGCCGTTCATTCAAGTTTTCGTAATTTTCGCTGACGAGAGATTTTCGTTGGAAAATTTTTTATATTATATTCCCTTGAAACTCAATTATTATTTAGATTGGATTGTATAACTTTGTAAATAAATTGAGATAAGAAAAAGTTGCACCGCATATAAAAGGCTTACTTTAAATACGTATTTATAACAGATGTTTTAGACATAACCTATAGGATTAAATTTTTTCTGAATTAAACGAGACAATACGGATTTTCTATCACGGATTTTTCACGGTCGATAGAACGCGTAATAAAATGCCAGCTCCGAAGAATTCTCTCAGCGTCGCCGTAATATGCTCCAGTAATATGAACAGGAGCATGGAGGCGCACGCTTTCTTGAGGTAATCGGTCGTAGGGGGTATATAACAACCGTTGACAGAACGATTAATCTATCAAAGCATATGGATCATATTTCACTGACAGTCGGTGCTTTCTTGCCTACAAAAAAACACGATCGAGTTTTGCATCAAAGAATTTGAAAATTATTTTCCTAAATTTTTCTACGGATGGGTAAAATTAGTTTCTCATCTGTAGGATTAGGTTCTCTCTTGAACATATGAAGATCTCAATGTGTGTTGAAATGACTCGTTCGATAGCAAATACAAAAAATATTTTACTTGAAAACTTGATTGTTTCAGCAAAAAGGGATTTAACGTGAAGTCATTTGGAACTGGAGATAAAGTCAAACTGCCTGGAACCGCACCAGATCGTCCTAATATCTATGACTTTGGGACTTCTTACGAGGAAATCTACAATGATCTATTAATGAAAGACAAACAATAGTATCCTTGACGTATATAAATAAATCTTTTGCACATCGCAAATTTATACATTGCACGCAGTAAATTGCAATAAATTTCTTTCACGCTTGTTATACTTTTGATTTACTTCTTAAACATTATCAGATATATGTTTCTTAACAATTTATACACAGTTATACACAGAATGGTTTATTACACATGTTAGACCGGAATCGTCGGATAAAACCCAGACCGGAACGGTTTCAATTGTCCAGGGACAAGTTCGACATTTTAATTTCTTGCGAGGAGCGAGTGTACGATCAAGTGATCGAATGTATGGATTCCAGAACAAAGGAGGATAATCAACCAGTCCACTTGATCAATATTGACATTCAGGACAATCACGAAGAGGCCACAGTAGGATCGTTTCTTATATGCGAATTAGTGACAGTGGTATCTCTTTTCTTTTTTCACAGCTCTTCTACGCTCAAAAACTTTGTTCACCTATCTTGTTCATTAATATGTAAAATTTTGTTCCATTCCAGTTGGCGAATAGCGAAGACTTAGACAATGACATAGATGAATTACTCCACGAATTCGAGTCGAAGTTCGCGAGAACGTTATTGCACACCGTGCTGTTTTACTGAAAACTTTATTAACGACGTGAAAAATGGACCGGGAAATCTATTCACCAAGCCTCAAGTTTATAAGGGAAATTTAAAAATTAATTATGTATAACTTATAAATATATGTACACACCGCATATGTGTATTTGTCCACCGAGTCGTCGCGTGGATTCTAACTCAGGCGGGAAATTTCGCTTGTGCTTCCTAACAAACAGTTAACTCGTGCGGAATTTAATCTTAGACTTTAATCTCTCCGCGATCAAACGAAGTCTGAAAGTAAAGTGTCAAATCATGTGTCGTTAAAACTTTTAGACGAAAGAAAGGAAAAAGAACATGCAAAGAATATATGAAATATAAAATATTTTAATTTTAACGTAATATATACACATATACAACGTGCGTGTATCGATTCCTTGCGCGCACGATTACATGTGAGTGTTCCGACAAGCGCATGTCGTTTTTGCGCGTACTAGTACATTACAGAAGCTGTTATATACAATCGTACAGCTATTATAAAAGGTGATAGAAAATGGGCATAATAAATTCAGGAGAACGCAGAATATTTTCTGCACAATTTTGTCCGCTCAGTGTTGATCAAGATAAGCGTACACTCTTCGAGTCTTTTCGCGTTTATTTTTATTAGCATGTTTATTTATCATCTTCCACGGTTTCTTGGTTTCGTTAGTCTGATCGACGATCGACGATCCTGTTGAATTGATAGTTGATCCAGCGAGTCTAAAAAAATTAAGTTTACCGATGATCAATGAATTTTGTATACAAAAATATGTGGCGTTTCAAGAATTGTGTATATATATATATGTATAATTTCAATTGCGTGCAAACGCGAGGTGTAAATCAGCATGTTTAGATCTTGATACGCCTTATTGATTAGTCTTGGAAATTATTTGATTATTATCATATATGTGAGCAACTTTACAAATAAATCGAACATTTTGACACTACATTTTAGATTGTTGCGGAATAGGTCCAGGAATCCCCTTGACATGTACATTCTGAAAGAACTTCCGATCCACAGTGTCGGCTGTTATCCGACACCCTTCGTTCACGCGAGCAACTCGGGGCGGTATGTGTTTGTTCGCGAAATTCCTACGCCGGGGTGGAAACACGTGGAAGCTCTTTTGCTCGAGTGTTGGCGGTGCGACACAGTACAATAGTTTACCATTAACGAAATCTTTCAGAACGTATCTCGCCGAGCGTGGATTATCCGGTTGACCATTTTGTGTCATAAAACCTCGGTTATCTGCAATATACATAGCATACATACACATATATATACAAATATATTATTGTAGCACTTTTTGAAGAAGTTTGAAAAATTGACTTAAAATAATTACATACAGGCGTGTGCATTCAGAAGCTCTTCCGCAGTTGGCGCGCGATCCGGATCTTCTTCCGATGATACAAGCAGCATAAAACCGTAGAGATCTTCCAGAACATGTCTAGGTATCAATGTAGCCAGTAATGTGACTGCTGGTACATGATCCCGCATTTGATCGATCGGCAGTATGCCGTTCAGGATCATTTCCGCTTTTGTGCAAACGAAGCTTGGCATCACCAGCCCCGGGCAATCGCACAACAGAAGATTTTTATCCAAGTATAAAGTCTGAAAGTGTTTGGTTTTACCTGGTGTGGCGGACACCGAGACTTTTTTATTCATCATCAAAGCATTGATGGTGGAACTTTTCCCGACATTCGGATACCCCACCAAACCAATTGTAGTCACTCCATCCATGTATGTTTTATGGCCGGTGTAAATTGTTTTGAATAAGTTTACAAGCTCATCCCTAGCTAACAATTTTGAGGAATTAACTATTTTCTTTTCATTCTTTACATCTATTGGAGAGATTTCTAAGTTCTTTATCGCATGTAGCTGATTTTCTACTTTCTGTTTATCTGTATCAGTCTCTGTGTCAGATATATTGTGGATATCATTGTGATCATCTTCCAAGATTTCACATTTTGATTCTGATTTCGATGCAACTTCCGACTTTGACTTGTCACTATCATCCTCATTCTCTTTTTCAGAAGAATCAGTTGCGTCACTATCATTTTCATTCTCGTTTTCAGAAGTATCAGTTGCGTTATCCTCATCTTCTTCTTGAATTATGTGTTTCTCCGCCGTTAATGTCGCAGAGAAAAATGCTGCCAAAATATTTAGATCCGCGAAGTACTTTGCCCACGCTTCTCTTTGTCCTTCCGTTAAAAAGTCGGCTTTATTAATGAGAATCATGTTAAGTTTGTCAGGATTGACTTCCTTGACGTAACGCTCCAAATCCTCGCAGCGAAAAAGCAATGGATTGCGCGCATCTACGATTTGTACAATTACGTCACTACGTTCGACCACTCTCCACAATTGTCGCCAGAATTCCAAATTTTTCTCGTAAGGTGTCAATATCAATCCTTCGATTTCCTGCAACAAAGATAAACCGCGTCTCCATTCTAAAAATACTTCTTTCTCCCGAGTTTGTAGCTCGGAAGCGCTAATATTGTCCCATTTCGGTCTTCGTGGTATCTTAACAAGACCTTCGTTTTTTTTCTGTGCTTCCAATATTTTTTTCTTTTCAGCTTCCGAGAGCAAACCGGCGCTACTGGCATTGACAAATTTAATGTTCAATTTTTCTCCGGTGAATTCCGTGTCCGCAAGCTCAGCCGTCGATAAAAATTCTTGAAATGAGCTTTCCTCTGTAATTGATTTTAAATTTAACCGACTCCAATCGTCATCAAGCTCTGCGGTATGGAGCTATTATGAAGAAAAAAAAGAAAATACATATCACTCGTACGAAACTTGACATTTAAACGAAAAGGTTAAAATAATCTCACTGTCTTACCATCGACGGTTCATTGCTATTTCTTTTAATTTTTCTAGATCTGAATCGATCTTTAATTAAGGATTTTCCTAAATTGCTGCTTTCTCTTTTACCTTTTTTGCTCATTATTTCTTATCTATCGATACACTTTTATTCCTCGTAGAAAAAACACATGTGACATTTATGGCACGAACAGTGTTTATATAGACGTTATGTTAACACAAAGGTATGTACATAGAATGACGTAATAGCGCAGATGACGCGCTCTCCAAACGCAACTATATGATATGAGCTTTAGTTTGTGTATACTTTTTGAACTTAGTGCAGAAAGTTCAGCAAGAAAGAACAAACCGTTCTGAATGCATGGATGCAAGTAATAGATGCACGTGTGATGTCAAACAATGACAAAACCGGCGGCTGCGTTAAATCACGTGTACTGAATCTCATTTCGTACAACAATGTTTACAAACAATGTCAAATTGATTGGTTTTGCCAAGTACTCAGTTTGGAAGAATTACGCGTGTGACGCATATTGTCAATTAAGAACTTGCGGCAAATATAAGAACTTCATTTGGGTTTGTGGTTATTCTACAGGATGCAACGAGAAAAATTACGGGTTTCAGATGCAAACGGATCCCAGAGTCGAAGCATTGAGAGAGAAATTGATATACTGCGATCATCTGGATCGTAATAAAGTCAGAATAGGTTACATGAAGCAATACATAATGAAAAAAAATATCGAAACAAAGCAGAGCAAAACACGAATGGCTGAGCTCATGAATACTCCTGTATACAGCGTACTCTTGGATGACAGCAAAGATAAGAAGGACGATAATCAATTACAGGAAAAATATACAGAAGAAGATGATGCAAAACCCATACATATGCCATATGCTAGTACAGATAAATACAGTAGCTTGGATACATCTTCACATGATTCTGATCAATTTGATGGCAAAACTATACCATTGAGTAGCAAGTATAAAGATTTGTACGATAAATATTTGGCACTGAAGACGGAAACTTCGAGAACAGGAAAAGAAATTTCTCTGAAAGATTATTTAGAGGAGGTAGACATTGATGATGAACCTACTCAAACAGATTTGTCCAGTGTGCCATTTAATTGGATGGTTGATGTAGAGCAATACGATGATTCTTTGGCGGACAGTGCTTGGCTTAGCAATTACGGCACTCCCGATCCAAATTCAGACATTAGCTCTGTTCCATGCGGTGGATGTGGTGCTTTGCTACACTGTAAAGATCATGCTATACCAGGTTATTTACCCTCAGAGATATTTTTGAAAAAGAATAAAAAACAATTGCGAATCATGATATGTCAAAGATGTCACTTCATGAGATACTACAACACCACATTGGAGGTAAAGGTTTCGCCAAGTGAATATGAGGAACTTCTGAAGGTGATAAAAACAAAGAAATGTGCTGTCATCCTAATGATCGATCTTTTAGATTTTCCGTGTAGCATATGGCCCCAGATAAATAACGTGCTGCATCCTATGACACCGGTGTTTGTAGTAGGGAACAAAGTTGACCTGTTGCCTCAGGATTCGCCACAGTTTTTCAATCACGTTAAGGAGTGTCTGTCAATGGCCGTAGAAAACACAGGAATCAGGAAGGAAATGATCAGACATATAGCTCTTATATCAGCGAAAACTGGTTATGGAATAGAACAACTTATAAATAAATTACACAAATTGTGGCAATATAAAGGAGATGTTTATGTGATTGGATGCACAAATGTGGGAAAATCATCTTTGTTTAATGCTTTATTACAATCCGATTATTGCAAGGTACAAGCTGTGGATCTTATACAACGTGCAACCATTTCTCCTTGGCCCGGCACAACTTTAAATTTACTCAAATTTCCTATTTTGAATCCTCAAAGGTGGAGACTCTATTTGAGGACACAGAGGTTGCAAAATGAACAAATACCACAGAAAAACGAAGAGAAAGTTAGGATTGAACGATTCCAAGCAACGCGCGATCTTAATTACGCCACGTTACAAAGTATGTGTCAAAGTAGTTAACTGCAATTATACATTCTTGTAAAATGCGTATAATCAATCGAAAAAGTTTGTGTTAGAGTGCTCGACAATAAATACTTAAAATTTATATGTCAAATTTAGGTCACATCGGCAGAACATTTTATTCTAAGTCCGAGTTTATAGAACAAAACGATCTGTTCACGGAAGGAAAGTACAACAGAGCCGAGCAACAATTCGGCTTTGACGAGACCAAGGAGGAATATAAATACAGTCGCTGGTGTTACGACACACCGGGCACCATTCAACCGGATCAGATCTTAGATCTGCTAACAACGGAAGAGCTTTTAACGATTTTGCCAAAGAAAATAATCTCACCCAGAACTTTTATTCTACGTATAAATCAAACAATATTTTTAGGTGGATTAGGTAGACTAGATTACTTGGAGGGCAATAATTTCATCAGGTATTTATGTTTGTATTATTATTGTGTGTGTGTGTGTGTGTGTGTGTTAATAATAAAAAATTCAAGAAACAAATTCTCTCCATTTTCTACACGTTTTTCAAATGATTACGTATTTAGATGCACGATTTTTTCGAGTGACGAGTTACCGGTGACTTTGACTCATACTGCGGATGCGGATGAGATTTATAACGAATTGCTCAAAACAAAGGCATTTGTTGTGCCCGAGAACAATCCTGATCGATTGAAACACTGGCCTGAATTAGAATCCAAGGAAATGGAAGTCACCGCTATCGGAAAGAACAAATCGGCTGCCGACGTGGTTTTGTCCAGCGCAGGTAAAATTTTTATTTTTGCAACAAAAAAGGAGGCTTAATATATTTTTCACGCCTCGATTTTCAATTTGATCGCGTAATTGTTGTAGGATGGATCGCGATCAGTGGGAAAGAAAATGAACGCGTTCTTTTGCGAGCTTGGAGCCCGCAGGGTCGCGGTTTGTATCTTAGAACACCGGCGCTTTTGAGAAAATCTGTCACCTTACGTGGCAATCGAGTCAGAGACGTGCCGGCATATAGAAGTGGACGTCAAGCGTATAGGTCTTAAAACAAAACTTGTACATATATTTTAGGCGTTTTTCTTCACGTTACACAGTTCAATATACATGTTTATACGTGTATATATGTTTATTATTATTATTATTATTATTATTATTCATCTGTTACCTTATTTCATACGATTACTTACGATATTTTCGAAGAAGTAATAACAATTTCTATTAACACTTATACGCACAACTTACACTTCGTGTTTGTGAAGTAATCGTAACTCTCATTCCTCTCTTGTTAAACACCGTGTATATAAAAGACGTTTAATCCAAATTTTATAATAATACAAAATCACACATCGGCTAAAAGAAGCGATTATCGTCATATTTATCAATCGTCAACTTCTTGCGCTCGTATTTTTGCCTGCTTGTACATTTTTTTATAAAATCTTTCCAAGTCCTTGTAATACCCGTGAGAACTCGCGTGATCTCGGACGAATTTACAACTCGGCTCGCACTCTTCGACGCTGTAGAACAATTATATTCCCAAGAATAATTCATAACAAGATGTATTGTAAAGAGATAAATTTTATTTTCTCTACTTACTTATCCGTAGCCTCGGTAGCGCTCAATTTTTTTCTAATCTTCTGAAGATTTCTTATTTGCGATCGTACTGTGCAACGACATGATGATGTGTTTTCTTGCGTGTCGGATGTGCTGTCCGGTTTACCCAAGCATATACAGTTCTCTCTCGTGTCAAACAACGGTCTTTGCTTGGGAGCAACGTATTTCTGAATTATGTCCGAATCGTCGTGGCATTTGTTTGAAAAGTAACAGTTGTACTTCAAACACACCGGACAATTGTCTGTGACATGAGTAATAGTATCACATAAAACGGCAGTTTCGCTTGACTTTGAAGAACACGATCGAGGAACGCATGTGGAATCTTTCTCTCTCGTTGTGTGATAACACTGATCGAGTTGTGGTCCAACGTGATAACACGAGGGACAGCGATGAGAATCACCCATACTGCTCGATCTTTGTCGATATCTAATGTAATATGTGAGAGAGATAATTTATTTTAATATTATTCACACACACACACACACAGAAATATACTAACGCGTGTGTACAGAACATTATCGGAATATTTACGGTCGACAGCTTTGAGATCTTGGTTTACTCGTGGCGTGACACACTCTTCGTTGCCTTATGATACCCTTAACCGGACGTTTTCTTTGTCCACACGTTGTTTGCTGAAATACATGTACATATTTACGGGACGAATAAATCCTTGCAATTTTTAGGCACGCGAGAAGAAAAATACTTATCGTCTCATATAATTCTAACAACTACGAAGTACCTTAGAATTAATCATTTTGGGATTCACAACGTAACATCTGTTCGTATATGTGTCGCTGCCTAACACTTCCTCGACAACTGTTTTGGTAGAAATTTCGATTTTAGGCGCTATGATACCCTACAGTGCAAAAAACAACGAATAAAAACACATTTTTTGTTTTAATCTAATGAACAGAAAGATGCAAAAGATTTATACAGGAAAACACTTGGTTGGTTCCATCAGTAAGTCCACGTCCACTCCTGCTAATAAACCTTTGAAGCTTGGCTCGGGATACAACAAGTCGGCTAAATTTGTCTCAAACGTGGCCAGAGTAATGCCGCGACTACATGGTGTTGCCCACTGTGTCAGCTTCGCGTGTAAAACTTCTTGCTCCAAAGTGCGCTGCAGTTCGGCCAGAGACGCTGTGCGAGCGAAAATTTTACTGAACGTAAATCTTTCGTGAAACAGCAACGGAAAAATCGGACTTATTCTTCGGGATTCCGCGCACGAATCGAGAGCGTTGATTTGCAGAGCCACTTTGCCGTTGGGACACAACCAAACGCCAGGGCATGTTACCTAAAAAATATCGTTTTCTCTTTTTAAACGAAATCATTTTGCAGAAGTCAGTTGCAAATGATGTTGAATGATTTTTTCTGTGCGATAACTTCCTCGCAAAGCTAAAATTAAGAACACAAACAAACGAAATATAAACGACTTACTTAAAGCTAATAAAAAACAAAATCACTTTTGTTTATGTCACGCTATACGAACACACGTACGTACCGCGTGTACTTGTAGATGAACTTTAACGTAGAAAGCTCTGCCTGACATGTCTGATGACAGTTTGACTGACATCAATCATATGATTAACAACATCGTTGCCGCGAACTTGCACTCGAATCGATTTTCACTTTGGTATTTTCAGAGACATGCAACCGCGACATATCATATAAAGTGTTTTCTGAATATTTGCGTGTCCAGAAAGATGTTTTTACTCTTTTTCTTTGGACTCACTTCAATGCACACTTTAAAAGCCCAATGCCATCTTGCGAAAGAGTCATTATCACGGCGCTTGTTGCCAAGGAACAAAATAACACAACATTTACGCGAATCAATGCGTCGACTACGCGTGTCGAATTTTTTTTCAAGTTCAGCTGAGACACGCGTATGCAACATGACAATTAGAATTATTAGTAAACAGTAAAAATTTATTTTGAACATTTCCAACACTTGGCTATGTGTTTCAAAATCATCAAAAATTTGTGTTATGTTTTGAACGGAATGCCCGTAAATTTTTTCTCAGGCAGAGAAGTGTGCAATTTTCGAAGTAAAAGAATGTTCGCGATAAAATCTGAGTGTTTCCTGGGAAAGCGTAATCGTGAATCCTTCGTGACAGGTATTAGCGGCGCCGTGAACCAGCCGTATCTAAAACGATTTTAAATTAAATATTGAAATCGAGTGTGTCTGTCATTTACACTATCTGTCCGTCGACTCACTCCATGTTCACTGACGGTGGTCTGAATGAATAAACTTCCGTAGGTGTCATCTCTTTATATCGAGATATTAATTTAACGTCTTCCTCTCTAACATCCGCTGCGGACAGGACATCGTGTTTCGCGTAGAACTTGCCGGTTAAAGGTTTCACTTGAACATTAGGCGTAAATTTCTCGTACACTTTTATAAACTTGTTTTCTTTTTCGTATCTTTCCAAATAAAAGCGCAGTTTTACAGGATTTACATAACTGGCCGCCATAATACTGACAAAGTTCTAATTGATTGAAAATTTTGCAAATTTGGCGCAAGGTCGGGAAGGAAGCGATGGAAAAATTGACTGTCTAGAGAGCTAATTTCAAGGATTACTTGAAGAGAGTATATTATGATTTATTTTAAAATATGTATATCAATAGAAAACACATACATAACAAGCGGAAGACCATGGCTGATCAGTCAAAGGTTTTCCAGGCCTTTTTTTTTTTTTTTCTAATAACATCGTTGCTCTCTTTTTCTTCTCGTGATTTCCGATCGATCAACCGAAAATGTTTCTCATAAATATATAAGGCAATATTCGTGTATAAGGAACTAAAGCGCCTCGCTTCTTCTTCTTCTTCTTCTAAGTCTCTGCGCTCTAAAGCATCACGCTGCTTCGAGAAGTGATTGTTACATGAACGAATTCGTTACTTTGATAAACAACGCCGTGAATGATTTCCTGTGTGATAACTTATTCGCAGAGCTAAACACAAACGAACGAAAATATAAAGGACTTACTTAAAGCTATGAAAAAAAAAAAAAAAAAAAAAAAAAAAAAAAAAAAAAAAAAAAAATCATTTTTGTTCATGTCACACTGTGAACACAAATGGCGATTATAAGCAATTTATCGCAAATATTTATAGCAGCGGTAAGGAGATATTTGTCACGAAAAGAAACGATTTACACACGAGATTCAGATTTGATGAAAAAGCAGTTGACACTTTCGAACGCGCGAGTTATAGACCAACGAAATAAATTATTATATCATAGTTATTATATTATAATACGAGATTTCTCTTTGCAACGTCTGTCCGTGATAATAATTCGATGATAGCTGCCGAATTGTATATTTATATTTCTATAAATATATATTGGAGCCAAAAATATATATTTCTCTATCCCGTGTTTAGAAAAGACGATTCGATACAAATCACTTTCTGTTATTAAAAAACGTATTCCGCGATACTTTCCAATAGCTTCGAGTGCATATTTCATTTAGAATCGCAATGTTCAACAACGTTCTATCTCTCTCTTGTTTCGCGTTTAATGCCATCGCGACTATTTCGTCAACGTGACTATTACATCATATCGTTGACAAAAGAAGCGCGAGACACTTTTATATTGGAGTCATTGTTGTATAATAAATCTACATTTATATAAAATCGTTACAAGTAGTAAGACGCGTTCGGTATAATATCGTTTAGAAAACTATTCTGTCTGAATTAGAATCAGTTCTGTTCGGTAACAGATAGATTCGATAGAATATCCGCAGCTGTTGAAGATGCGTCTCTCGTTTCACTTGCGAGACGTTGCTTTCGTTGGTTTCTGAAAACACAGACAAATTTATTTATCGTATCTTGAAAAAAAAAACAAATTTTTAAATTGAAAAAAGAACAAAATCTAACGTTTTTGTTTCGTTACAATATACCTTTTCTGTTCGTCAAATAGTCTGCTACTTCCTTCGCCGAGTTCTATATCCATCATCTTGTCCACGTAGGACCTCTGCTTGTCACTGCTGTACTGCGGCAGGTCCAAGTTACCATTGTGATGATATCCGTTTTCGCATTTGCTCAGATAATCGTCCAGCAGCGGCGATCGACAGGTGTCGCGCGGCGTCAGATAATCAGAATTGCTCGGCGACAGAATTTCCTCGTAATATTCGACGCTTTTTGGCTGCAGACCGCTTACGGTCGAGCCGTATTTCTTTGGTAAGATAGCTGACGTACTTCTGCTCTTGTACGAGCTCGCGAGATCGTTGCCCGCGATTATATCCGTGCTGTGATACTTGGCGCGAGAGGCAGTGAGATCCAATGTGGGTGATCGCACGTACCTTCTGAGAGAGTCGTGCGAAGAAGACGGTAAGCTGGTGCCGTAATGATCGTACGATAACGCGTTCAGTGTGTCATACTTTTCACGATCGACCGGCGACTTTCTGCAAGACATCTCGTCGCCGTACAAGCCGTAATTTTTATCCGACCTAAGAAAATGTGTACTTCGTGAAGAGAAAAAAACAATTGCCGAAAACAAAAGAAGTAAGAATATAAATTACCTCGTCCTGGAAATCCCATAGTTGTAATACCTGTTGCGTTCTCTCTCTCTAGGACTGTTGAAGCTGAACCTTCTTGGCAGAGTCGTGCTTACGCTCACTCCCGGCGGCGGCGCCGTCAAAGACGGTCTCTTTCGATCGTTAAATCTCGAGTAGAAACTGCGTCTTCGTATTCGGTCTATTATTGACTCCGAGCTATCGCCGCGCATGAAGAGGGAGTAGGAGGGCGACGTCGGCGAGTGCAATTGTGGCGAATGGAGATCGCTGCGATTGTGATTCAGATCGGCTGAACAGATCGACCAGGAATCGAAGCTTTCCGGCTCTTCCGGCGAGAACATCTCGCTGTTGCAATCCTCCATCGGTCCCTTAACTACTTTATCTACGTCGTTGATCTCTTTGGGAGGATCTATTTTGATCTCTTTCGTCTTCTTATCTTCTATCGGTTCGCGTGTGTTGGTCGTCTCGACATTTTGCGGAATAGCGCGATCGTTACGCGACTCTATGTGATTCTCTATGATCGTGGCGCATTCGGTGACTTCTCGTTTGAGTTCGGCGACGTCCTTCGCTCGCAACGGCTTGTCAATGACTATCTTGTTGCCAGTGATGTTGGCGTGATGCGTCATCTTTGACAGACATTCCATCAATTTATCAGAACCGCTTTCCGCAACAGGAACATCCGTCTTAGGTGATCCAGCAGACATAGCGGGATTCGCTTTGGGAGGTGAGCCGGATTTGGGCGAGTCTCTCTTTGGAGTGGTGTGTCTGAACGTGTGTTGCGGTATTTTGGTCAGATCGAGTTTGAGATTCGCTCTGTTCGGTCGCTGTTGCTCTGATTGTTTGATCTGTCTGACATTGGAGCTCGAAACGTTTTGCTGAGCCGCGGAAGCCGAGGAATGAGCGGATGAAGATACCGCACCGTTTTGAATCACGTGATTCGCATAGTTCTGAGAAGAGCTCGAGGCGTTTTGAAGCACAGCACACGTTTGCGAGAGATCCGTAGACGATATATCGGCATCGGAAGTGAACGATGCAGCATGATTTCCCGCAACATCAGCTTTGGATACCGTATTTTGCGCGATACGTTCAGCGTTGTCGGGCTTGGCGGATGACGTTTCTTGAACATTCGATGATTTGGTGATGGATTCGAGCGCGGTGGACACATTCGAGCTCTCGGGACTCTTTTCCTTTTTCGCGGTGACAATTTTCTTTTTCACCAACGGTTTCGACAATTTCTCCTTTTCCTCGGACTTGCTCTCGGAACTGTCAGACGTCTTCTTCACGACTTTCCTCACTACGCGCACAAACTTCTTCTTTTTAGCGCCGTTGGCCTCGTCTTTGTCCGCAACTTCCTTCGGCTTCACCGGTTTCTTGATCTTCTTATCGATTTCCTCGCCTTTGTCGATTCTCGTGACCGACTCGTTCTTACTCAGAGAACTGATGTTCTTCTTGGTTTTCAATAGCTTTTTTTCTTCGCTGTTAATGACAGATTCCACGTGTTTATTGTCCGCCACAACGTTTTGCGAAGAAGATTCCGACTCGTCCGACAATTTTGTCGCCGACTCGGTTTTCGCCGGTTTTATTTTATCCGCGGATGATGACGAGTCCGCTTGCGCGACTCTCTCCGGCGGTTTTTTAAGTTCCCTCGGTTGCTTCTCCGTTAAAGATTTTCTCTCTTTAACAACCGATTCTTTTTCTTTCGATTTCTCTTTAGGCGGCGATTTTTTACTCTCGCTCTTCTCCGGCGATCTCTTAGTCTCCGATATCTTCTTCGCTGATTTGCCGTCCGTTCTGGCAGATTTCGTTGGTATTCTACTCGTCCCGGTCGCGTCTTCCTCCGAAAGCGACTCGGTCGGTTTGACGCTCTTGGGAGGACTTCTCTTCAGTTTGCTCATGATCACATTCTGCGATCTGCTGTTATTGCTCGCGTTTTGCTTCACGTCTGAGCTCGTCTTGAAGAGACCCAGCACAGACGTTACCCGTCCCTTCGACGGTGCGTTCTTAGTAACTTTTTCGAGCTTTGTCACGTCTTCCACGCTCAACGTTCGCTTCACTTCGGTCGGCTTTGAATCTACAGAACACTCGACAGGTGGTGCGGAACACTCGCGAAATCCGCGTTCCTTCTGATCGCCGGGAATACCGCCGTTTGTCACTGCTTTTGTGTCGCTTGTTGTCTCGTCGTTCGAACGCAACCTTTCCAACTTCTTCTCCAGCGTATGCAGAAAGCTGCTCTTCGATCCCTGTCGTTCGATCTTCTCCTTGTCTTCATTCTTGGAAGATTTGTTCTCAGAGGTAACAGCAACGTCCAATTTGTCCTTCTGCAACGCGTTTATCTCGTTCTTCTGCTCCTTGCAGATCTTCTCCTCCTTCGTTTCTTCGATCTTCTCATCCTTCCGATCCTTGTTCTCGCTCTTCCGTCGCATGAATCGCGACTTCCGCCGCTCGTTCTCCGCGGCTTTCTGCGCCTCTTTCTCTTTCACATACTGACTCTCTTCCCGCGGTGTGTCGAAGAAATCCGGTCGCAGGAAACGCGAGATGCGATGCTGCTTCGGCTTCTGACTCTTGTTGCTGTCCTTAGGATCGACTTCTTTGTTGCTGCTACCACCTCTGAAGAATTTGCTCAGTATCGATCTCTCCTGATTGGCGTTGCCAGTTAACGCATCCTGCGTGTTGGCGAACGATTTCCTGCGATCTGTGCTCACGCTCGGTTCCCTCGTCAATGAGACCGAACGTAGTCTGAGACTCGGGATGCAGCTGCGTCTCTTGGACGCAACAGAGTTGGCCGATGACTGGTCCGTGGAAGTAATCAACGCTTCCTTGTCGCACTTGTCCGTGTCTTTGTAATTACAACTAAGATTCGGATTGAAACGGGTAAAATTTTTCAGCTTGGACTCCTTAATCAGGTTCTCCGCCGCTAACAGCCTGCTTTCAAAACTCTTAGAGATGTCAGACTTGCTGTAATCGCCCACATTTGACGAGGACTCGGTTGGCGACGTCTCGCAGGATCTGGCCGATACACTCGACGTGGTGGTCTCAATCAGATTGGCGTTCGAGTTGCACACGGATAACGACGTACTTTCCGACACAGAACCGTTTTCCGCATTGTTATCGATGTCCTCCTTGCAGGTGAACATGTACGCGTCGTCACCGGGCTCTTCCTGGATCTTGTCCGTTCTGTAACCGTAGAAATTGTCTCGTCTACCCGATTCCTTGTATTTCCGACCGAGCGTCATTATGTGTTTCGGCAACGACTGCAGCAGCTTGTCGTTGTCGTCATCCTCGAAGAGACTGATGCTTCTTCGCGGAGAATGTCTCTCAAGTCTGTCCAATCTGGACGGTTCCAACAGACTGTTGGTCCTTCTGATACCTCGATCGAGTGATCTGCCTCTGTATTCGGTCTGATCGAAAGATCGTTTCGCGATCTCATTCGTACCCATCAAACTGAACATCTCTCTCGTTGGCGACTGATAATATCGACTGTTGTCACGCGGCATGGACGGCGAGCGCGGCACCGCTTGTCGGGTCTGCTCGATAAATTGTCTGCTCAATCTGCGCGCCAAGCTGGGAGTGAAATTCTGCTCCAACGATTCTTGCGCCTCCTTTCTGATTTGCGTCGTCGTTTCCGCTTTTACGTCTTCTTCTTCTTCGTGCACTTCTACTTTATCTGAAAGCAATTGAGACAGGGTCTATGCACATTCCGCATGCGTGTGTGTTCATGTGTGTTGCGTGTCTGTACGTGTAGGCAACGTTGGATTATACTTCATTGTTGTTAACAAGGATGTGTATATAAGAATACTCACACACAATATCGGTATTTACACTCCTTTATTTTTACATACATAAATCTTTCTTATAAAATCTGTCGAAAAATGTAATAAATAAAATGAAACGTTTCTCTCTCTATCTTTTTAAAATTTTGTCGGATGTCCTTTCAAACGGATACCAGCTGTCAATGGAGTGCGGACTGCACTCGCGCATGTCGATGTATATTTTCGAGTCATGGAAGCTCTCTAAACGTGACTACTACACTTTATACGGATGTTAAATGACTTAGAATAGTGGAAGAGATTTCGAACTAGTCTTAAAGAGATCACATATTTTAAATAACAACTCTGAAAATATGCATCAACGATAGGTACTAGCAGTATATATAACGTACTGTGTTTTCTTTTTCTTATATATATATGTATATATATATATATATATATGTATATAGATTATTAATATACAGAAAATATTGTAAGTGTACTCATTTAACAGTGACCATGCAACGAATTCGTTTTTTTTTTACATAATCAGGAGGAAACAGAATTATAGACTTCAAATAACAAATATAACGGGGATATACAGTTGGTAATAATAATATTAAAATTATGTCTCCTAAAATAAATATGTATACATGTGCATCTCTCACTTAATACGCTCCTAAATCACAATATGTTAAATGAGTAGACGTAGGAGAAAGGAAGTAGTGCACAGTGGATATATGTATATTAAATACAATATATATAAATATATAAATATATATATATATATATATGTGCATTATATCAAAGCATGCGGAGACAATGGTGAAGTAATAAAAACGCTGTTATTTAAACTCTTAAAAACACAACAAATATCAGCCATCTCAGACAAGGGTTAGCTTCCGCTTGCAAGTATACATTTTATATTTATTTTTTTGTTTTTTCTATGAAGTATTTTGCTAGTATCTAGCAAGTATTCTGCTAACAGTGTCACATAAAAAATTCTTTCTCTCTCTTTTTCTCTCTCTCTCTCTTTCTCTCTCCCTCTCTCTCTCTCTCTCTCTCGCATAACAAAGTTATTTTCGATTTTAGAACATGACAAATAAACTTATCTATCAACGATCCTCGCGAGCGGGTTCGGTATGATTTGTTCCAATAGCCGTATCACACACTTGTCACAGCAATTGTCAAGTTGTTAAAAGTCAACGGAGCTTCCAAAGTACGTTTGATTTTCGTAAGACTACATATCGGTATGTGCACCTCGTTAATCACATATGAATATTGCTTTAATATGCTTTAAAATGTATATATACGCGTTTTATTTTTCTAGATATTATACTTTCTTTTATATTATTTTATATATATGCAAATATATATATATATACACATCTTTTTTTGCACTGTCTCTCTATCTCTCTCTTTCTTTCTGTCTCGGAAATAAATCATACCAAAGATAACCCGTGTTTTTCACAGGAACTCGCGAACAGGATGTGTCTAGTTTCATTCAAAAAAAAAAAAAAAACGCACGTGATACAAGTGTTAAAGGTGTATGTTGTTTTCCGAACAGTTTACGTTCGTTGCGTACACAACTGAACCATCGTAATGCGAATGTCCTGTCTTCTCTTCGGAAATTGTACTGTTTTGCCGGCGCATCTTTATGATCGTAGACTCTATGATAGCATCAAACGGAGAGTGATGAAGTATAACAACACGTTCGAGAAAGATATCTCGGACGAATGTGCGTGACCGAACGGCAAGAAGTTCTTTTTTTTTTTGTTCTCGATACAATGAGGCTGCGTGTGACTTTATTGGCGTCACATACACTTTGAATTAAGCATACAGATATTTTAGTACCTAACTTGGTTTGTCTACTGGGGATTACCGTCAGCCCGCCTACGTAGAGTCACTCGCACGGTCGCTGCAACAACCGTCAAGAAAACCGTCAATCAACGTATCACAAAACGACGCCACTGTAGATTTTTTTTTTTTTTTTTTTTTAGAGCATATTTTTGATAATAATTGTTTGCTAACTTATTGACCGAATTCCCCGTTTACATGTGCCTTCGATGTTTTAACATGTATCTTTCAACAGGGTCTTCCTTGTATTTTTTTACATTTCAAACACTTATTAATTAGAAAAGAAGTTTGTTTAATATTTTTTAAAAAATTACATATTTCTACCTTGTTACTGTATATATATATATACACATAAAAGAACTTATATAAGAAAACAAAAAAATTACCTATTATATATGTATATATATTATCCACAAAAATTGAAACTTAAAACTTTTCTCTCTCTCTTTTTTTCAAACAAACAAAAAAAGATATCTTTAGAAGTCCCTGTGTTGTTATCCAAGTTGAGTCACAAAGGCAAAGAAAATCGAAAGTTTTACTTAATTCCGAATTGTACGGGAATGCTAACAAACAATTATTTTGATTACTGATTGAAGAGTCGACGATAGACGTAAATTAATGCATAAACTTGAATTAAATATGGATTTCTGTTCTGGATAGTGGATTTGAAACTCTTGTTGTATAATGTATATGGATATGTGTGCAGTCATGCTCCAAAGTTTAGTGTACACTACTTAACTAAAAAAAAAAAAATTGAGAAACTGCTACTACGATGTTATAAAATAATAGAAATCAACGGCAGCAGTGCATCGCAACAACTATGGCACTATTACGAGGTTCTATGTCAGGCAAAGTGAGCTTGCAATTTATTCTATGTCGTTTTATTCGGGGACAAATTGTATCTGTTATTCTATTAGCTATTGTAATGTTCAAACATATACGCGTACGTCGTATTAAACGAACGATATTAATTTGCAAACGCCGCATCGCGAAATCCCGCATAATGACATTTGATATTTGAACAAAAGTGATGTAAAAAAATTAAATTAAAAAATTAATTAATAGGTAGGTCGTCCCAAAGGAATGGATCGTGCAAACATGCTTTTAACAATATAGGATCTAAAAAAAGATTATAAAAAATTTGTTATCTTTATTAATTATGTTTCCTTTTCAAGGTTATTCTCAAGTTATATCATTTCAAAATGAATTCACGTTACATAACGTTGTTTACTCAGCACGAATTAAATTCTCTACGCGAAGTTGTGTAAAAAAGTTTAAATGAGAAAAAACTTCTTGTTCCAAATAAATTTACCCAACTGTGCCAAACATGAACCATATAATTAATCTATGATGTGTTAGTATCAAAAGTTGCAAAACATTGTCAGGCAAGAAATCCAAAAAAAATTAAACTTACTGGAAAGAAAGTAACAGAAAAAAGAGAAAAAAAAACAATAGGTAAAAGTAAACAAAAAGATGTGCTCTGTCTATCAACGACTCGACAACAGCTAGGTACTAGGAGATGCATACTGAATACCATCCAGCATTTTCTCACAAGGCTAATAAATTTAACCAGTGACAAAATAGCATGATGACTACAGCGATTTAACAGAAGCTTTTGCATCTGTGTGATTTGCATACTTTTCTCTCATTTATATACCACGTGTCATTAAAATCTAAATAATCGCTATGAAATAAAACATTAAGAAAAAAATTAAGTAAGAAATTGTGAAAACTAGCTTCTGTAAAGACGCGCGAGTCAACATTCTACGACATTAAATTATTCGTACGTATACAATTTGCGGTGGACCTTGTCGATTCAATTAGTAGATCGTTTTTTGAAAAATTTCTTGTACTCAATTCTAATTACATCGATACGACTTTCACAAACATGATCTACTTAATGATATAAACATGATCTACTTAATGATTTTGCGTTCAAGGTACCACGGTAAATTGCAGAATGACGGTACTACACCCTCTTACCTCTTGGCAATGTATTGCTTCCGATTTCAAAGACACTGTCCCGGGAAGGTGTACTGTGCGTTCCAGGACTGTTTGGAGTTCCGGGATTAGAGGTGTTGGCGGAGTCTCTCTTCGAAAACACATCCGCATCACGGCTCAAAGAATGTTTAAATTGCGATTCGGTGAGCCGCCTGTATGCACAGAAAACACGAAGAAATGTTACTAATACGCTAATATAAGATGAAAAAAAGTATTTTTGATACAGTCTTTGCACTTGAAAGAGGGAAATAGATAAAACAAAAGAGCGAGAGATAATCACATTCGACATAAAATCTTCGACGACGTGACAAAGAGTGCAAAACAAGTCGTACTCTATGAAGGCGAACTCAATACTGGTGTTGGCAAGAAGCAAAAGGTGTCAGCCTATGCGGGTTGATTTGCAAGAATATTTTGGGCTTGCTTGTTTTCACAACGTGTATTCGCTACTCTCAGTTGTCTGATGTGGCACATAGTTAAGCCGAAGTGAACGAAATCGGATTGGCACAGATACATGTACACGTATATAAATATGTGATCTAGCTTTTAACCTGCTCGTAGCGAGTGTCCAATTGTGATTTCTGTGTTATCGTTCTACTAAACGACGCGCGTATGTTCCTACTATGTATCTCGAAGGCTACCAGGCTCGCGCGCGCACTACGTTTCTATTACAATTTCTTTCTGAACAATTGGACTCACGTAGTCATGGTCCGTGTTTCGACATAGCTCTCGTAGCTTGCACAGACAAGCATAAAAAAAAGTCATCATCATTAAACTTTTAAAATACGTAAATAATCGATTTATATCGTCGTTAAAATTACTCTCAATACAGGATAAATTTCAAATATAAAATTCCGCGTTAAAAAAGAAAAGTATCTGATATCGCGTATTCACCTGGACAGCGGCTTATTGAGACCCCAAAACGCTTGCGACGGCTGGGAACCGAGTCTGCCGAATAGTCTGCTGCTTGGAAATCCGCCAGAACGATTATCGTCGACGTTGAGACGCTGTGTCAGGCTTCGCACTCTCGAGAGTAACGTCGAGAACAGATTTTCAGCTGTCAGTAATTCAAAACCGTCGTCATCATCGTCCTCGCCGGACGACAGACTGTCGGCGTGCTCAGACGGCTGTCTAGATGGTCGCGAGCTCCTCAATCGATGCATGTGCCTTTGCAATAAATCGTCACTGTGTTGAAGAGAAAACAATTTAAATTCATTCCAAGTTATTTATTCATGATGACAGCCGGGACATTAAAATACGAATTGTAAAATCGCAACTTAATAAACCACCAGAATGAATAATGTACTTATGTATTTGTGTACCCGTGTAACGATGAGAATGGCGATTCGTCCTCGCTGGCATCCGATAAGAGAGAACTCATTCTCCTCGGTCTGCCGAATCGGGACCTCGGCGGATTTGTACTTGTTGGTGTACTGGTTTTGCTTTCTGGTTCTAGACTACCCGATCTAGGAGTAACATAACCGCCGCCTTCCACCGCAATGGGAATTATGTATTCCCTGGGACTCTTCCTAATCGGTTCCGGTCCTACGGTAGAACCGAGAGCGCTATCAGTGTCTGAATCGGCAGTCGACTGACGGGACAGAGAACCTGATCGTTGAGACATCGATTTCTGAGACATCGGTGGTTTCGGTGGCGGAGTAGACGAGTGTTGCATAGGTTCAGATCCAGTCTCCACCTATATTTCGTAAAAGTCGATTTTGTTATTGTGAAAAGTATACAACGATAAAAATATATTTTTCATATAACAATGTTTTTTTATACTTGAATAGGTATGATTCTTTCTCTTGGTTGTGCGGCGTTAGATCTGCCTTCCGGTTCTAAGCTCGAACTTCTATTTGTATGGGGCACCGCAGCGGCAACTGGGAAGGCCACTTCGGATCGTTGGGTGCGCAGTTTCAGTGGTTGAAAAGCATCGATTTTAGCCTCTACTTCAGACTTAAATGCCACAGGCTCTGGCGACTTGACTCCGGACAATGTAATCTCGGCTTTGCTTGTTTTTCGTCTAGGCAACGTTGCGCTCTTCAATGTTATTTCCATTTTGCTAGATAGGTTCTTAGGTTCTTCTTCCGATTGCGCTTTTTCGGCACTTGTCATGTCGGTTGTAATCTATAAAAACAAGTAAAAGAAGAACTAAATACCAGCCGACCATGTGAATAATTAGTATACTGGTAACAGCGTTAGTTTTATACTTACAGTTGCTTCCGGTGGCGTAGGTTTGGTATCGAAGGCGAATTTCGTCTCGGTTGGCGTGGAGACTGACACTGTGGCCGATCGCACGTCATTCGGCGCGACTTGTATCTTCAGACCGAGTTTCTTAGAATCAGGACTTAGAGGTGATATTGGTGGTGAACCGTTTATCTTCTTTTGCATCGGAGGCTTACCAATCGCGCCGGTAATGATATCAACAGCGCGTTTCTTCGCCTCGTCTCGTTTATCCGATTTCTCTTCCGCGGCTTCCTGACTTTTCGCTGTTTGTTTCTGCTCATCTTTCTCGCTCTTCTTGTCCGTTGGTACATCAATGATAACTTTAGACGCGTTTGCTTTCACAGGGGGTGGTGTAGGTATCGATGATAGACTCGCCTTACGCTCGAAAGCTCGTTTCGCACCTCCTACATTAACGCCAGGAATAAATATCTTTTTAGGTTTTTCATTTTCTGTGTTAGACGCCAGCTGATTGAACTTCTCGGCGGTCTCGAATATTTTCGAGCGCCGTCTTTCGACGGGTTTGGTGGGCGCAGTCGCCACCTCGTTTGACTGTTCATAGTCCAAAGAGAGTGCTTTCTCTTTGAGCTTTTTGAAATCGCTCTCCGTTGGTTCTAACTCTTGCGCATCTTGTTGCGGCAAATACGCTTTATTATGTTTGACACTAGTGTCGTTTTCATTTGGCACTTTTGATTCTGGAACGTCCGGCTTCTTGCTAGACGTTTCATTCGCTATTTTATTTGCGTTTTCCGAAGCGATATTCGCGTCTCCGTATAAACTTTTGCTAGGAGACTTGGCATATTTTTGTTGAGACTTATCGTCCTCATTGCTAGCTTTTTGATTGACCTCGTAAGTCTGCTGAACATTCTCAACGGACTTTGTTTGTTCATATGGCTCTTTATAGTCACTTACCAACGGAGTTTTGCTCCTCTCCTTGCTTGGTGATCGTTCTTTTGATTCTTCGATCAGTTCCAAACAAGCTGCCGCACCTTCCACTTTATCAAAGTCAACAGTCTTACTTGCAGGAACAGTGACTGCAGGATCCACTTCCATCGCCTCCTCGGATATAGAGTTTGGAATCGGAGCTGAATGATGCCTGAAATTTATATTTTTCGACATTATATCTCTTTATCTATCAATAAAACTAAAGTTTAATTATCAATAATAAAACAAGCAATCTACCTTGACGAAGATCTGTACGTTCTAGTCTCTCTCTCATCCGATTTCTCTTTTTTCTTGGATTTCTCTTTCCTCTTCACGTTCGCAGCGGCCGTCTCGTCCATCGACGGTGTTGTCTCCAGCTTTCTCTTGGCATCTCCGGCAGCGGAGGATCTCGGTTCCTCCTCTAATAATTCCCTTATTCTTCTATCGGAGCTATTCTGATCAAGCTCCATCAAGCTACCAACAGAATGGCACCTGGTAGGTACTAGCGTCTCGGAAGACATATTGTTAGCAACATCTCCACCCGCTTGCTGATCGCCCACCAACAGCTTTTCAGCACTGGCCGATTGCGGCACCAACGACAGCAGCAGATCCAGTCGCACTGGAGTTTGAGCTGCCAGATCCTCGGCGATATCCAGACAATTCTGCTCGTAGCCTTCGTTCACCCACCAATGAGTGCAAATTCTCTCGATGTCGGCACGTCTGCCAGGACATACAGTGAGCATCTCCTTTATGAGCGGTGAAGCGGCTAAAGCAAAGAACACAAGTACAAAATTAACTATCTATACCCGATATTCTGTTTATAAAATTCTCGTGAATTGAAAAATAGAATTCTATAGAAATTTATTCTACGTAGCTATCGTGTATAACATGTGCCGTACTCACGTGATGGCTTTTTGGGTTCAAAGTAATCAGACTGTGAGATCTGTTTGACTAGCCGTTTGAAGTTAGACCCGTCGAAGGGCATAGCACCGTACACTAGTGTGTATAGCAGAACACCTAGACTCCAGCAGTCCACTTCCGGTCCGTGATAAGGAGTTCCTTTCACGATCTCAGGGCTCGCGTACAGCGGACTGCCGCAGAACGTGTTCAACAATCTCTGTTCGTCGAACACATTCGAAAGACCGAAATCGGCTATCTTGGCGTTCCCAACTTGGTCTAACAAAATGTTCTCGAGTTTCAGATCTCTGTGGCAGATTTTGTGTTTATGGCAGTAAAAAACGGCGGTAGCTATTTGTCGGAATATCCTACGAGCCTCGTGCTCGCTCAAAACTTTGCGCTCACTCAGATAATCGTACAATTCACCACCCGCTGCGTATTCCATCACTAGCACCATCTTTTCTCTGTTTTCGAATACTAGAAGTAAATTGATCAATCTTAATGCTGAGCGACTCGTACAAAAACAAAAAAAATAATACAAACTTTTACAAAAGAAAAAAACAGAAAACTTTAATCGATTCTTTGTTAACTGATCACACATTACAAACATTACCCTCGTAAATATGAATTATGTTCGGGTGTTGAACGCTCGACATTATCTGTATTTCTCGCCGTATTCTGATCAAATCTGCTTCCGTTTCTATCTTACATTTTTTGATTGTTTTTATCGCCACCTCCTGGCCAGTTTCCTTGTTTATTCCTAATTGTACCTTACCGTATGTGCCCTGACCTAGTTTCTTTATTATGTCAAATCTGCAAAAGTTTGAAGTATCTAATTTTTTCTCTCTTGAAACCATACATACACGTGTAAGTACGTATACAAACGGATTAAGCACGCGACTCTTTGGCTTATTGGCGTCACATACCTTTGTTTCAGCTTTCGTTTGTGATTATGGAGACGTACACCACCCGTACTCTCCATCCCTCCCATTATATTGTATATATTTGCTTCTCCGACAACCATTTTGTCTGCGTTATTTGCCTGGAAAAAAAAATTAAAATTGACACACACATATTAATATCACAGTAATAATAATTGCTATTGTTCTTGTATCTTATCATTAGGAAAACTTCCTGAATATTTCGAAAATATTCTAAGACGTGTTGAAACTGTTCACATGCACATACGTATTATCGTTCAATCAAACTCTCTATCCTCTGCTCGGGAAGACAATGCATTTCATTTATCTCACGATTTTTCAATTTATTAGATTTTTTAATCAACGTTCCACGTACGCGTGTAATTAAAAGCGGTCTCGTAATAGAATCTGTTAAAAATCTTATGAATTTCCTAGACGGCGAGGTTTAATTTCACTCGAGTGAGTCGAAAGACGTAGACGTTATTGCGGCACGATTCTTTCTCTTTCCTTCATCATCGTCTTCTTTTTTTTTCAGTCGCTTCCTGTCTTCCAGGCGGAACCATAAGCGCGGTCGCTCCTACTCCCTCGTGAACGAAGATAACAACGACGAGGAATAGCTATCGCCATCTCAGTCCATTCCGGTCTTACATTAGAAAATAAAAGCGGCACCGAAGGGTTGAGGAGAAAGAAGAGAGCGAGGAGAGAAAGAGAGCGAGGAGAGAAAGAGAGCGAGGAGAGAAAGAGAGAGAAAGAGAGAGAGAGAGAAAGAAAGAGAGACAATGTATGTGTGAATGTAACTGAGTGAGTGAGTTAGTGAAGCAGAATGCGGTGAGTTTATTTCGGGCGTCGAGACGCCAGTGTATGTCGACCCGTCGTCGGTGGGTTTCTTCTCAGCATCTTCTTGTCTTCCCCAACACGCGCGCACTGGAGACTCTCTCGACCAGTAATTTTCTAAATTCTTCGGACAGATTCTTCAAGTTTGCCAGATTGCTCAATATTTTGACAAATGCAGAAGTAATTCAAAATATCTCACTGTAAGCGCGAGACTGCACATACGCGCTACATCCCGACTGTCGTTAATCTCATTTCTCGAGCGATTAATGGGACGTAATTGTTGCCGGACGGTACGAACGCGCGAGCCAACTGACCGACGACGCGACGATCGTCTTTCGTTGTCTCTTGCGAAGCAAATTTTTCGTCGCCGAAATAGCTAAGCGCCGCATAAATTACACCACGATTTCGTCAAAGCGGCGACAAGTTCGTTCGCCAGCGTGAAATAAATCATTGGGACAAATATACGATATGTTTCTGAAGTGGTCGGACAAATATCGTCGGTTCGAATATTCATCAACTAATTCGCAGTTCATCTTTTTCCGCAAAAATCATGAAATATTAATGTTTTGCAGAATATTAAAAAAAAAAAAAAAAAAAAAAAAANGATTAATAGCTCTTGTTTAAAAAAATTGATTTTTTAGATAGGCAGAAGAGAATCACTCGCGATGTGCAGGTATTTCAGGAAGAGAGTCTCTTAATTGCTGGTATTGGCGAGCGGCACATTCTTATTGGCCTGCCACGACGACGGCATCCGTTGCACCCGGCCAAGGTCCGTCCGAAAGAAAATAATTCTCCACTTGAACGGAGACTCTCCCGGCGGGTGTTCCCCGAGACGGGTCCCGCAGCTCTCGCCCGACAACGATGATAGCTCGTCGTACGGCTATTAATGCACCAACGATATGGATAACGGCTGGCTTGAGTGTGGCGCCCACGTTTTAAGTTCAACAGGCGCCTCGTCTCAAGGAGCGACGCGACGCAATGTGTGGCGATGCATCGTCCCCGCGAGTGACGACGAGTGACTCGTCGAGGGTGAATGAAACCGATGTGGCGTGTCATCGTGACGCGGAAAATGTTGACACACATTAGACAAATCTCGTGCAAAATGTGAACTGTCAAAAAGTATATAAAATTAAAAAAAGAATTATTGTAAAATTATATATCCGACGTGAACAACCGATTCTCTTTGAACGAGATAGTACAAGGTATAAAAATTCATGATTAGACATTAATAATCCAAACTTACACGTATCGTCTCAATTACAAATGACTAAATTACAGAACAATAATCGATAATGAGAAATAAATGAATGACATTATTCGTTTATGGAAATGTAATTGAAGAAATGGTTTATGCTTGTTTAATGTTGTCGAAAATATGTTCGAATTTTCTAGAGAAGTCCAAGGTTGGCCATTTGCCTTGAGAATATGCATTCTCTTCTTCTATTTTCCGCGCGTGTTATATGTGTGTTATGAATTATTATTATACGTATTTACATAATATCGTGCAAACATATTTTATCTTTCACGAATTTCTCTGTAAATTTCTTTTGCGTCTGTCATGGCAATTCGCATACATTTGCAAGAATGTCTTTTAGCGTCGTGCAAAATTACTGCTACATTTTTTTTTTTTTATGCTGAACAATTTATCTTACATCATTGACGTTCTTTTCAAGAAACGTTTCGTTCGCATTGTTGCGTTCCGTCTATTGTCATCTTCTTATTGAAAAAATTCCACTTGCACTCTGGCCATTCTTTTATGCGCAGAAAAACTGTCTGCGTACGTTCGACAGAGAACTCGGTCTCGGAATTCAATAATCCACCTCTTCTAGCTCGCGCGGTACTTTCCAGTTTTTCTGGAACACACCCGGACGAGATACGGGCATGAAATCGCGCGAGAGAACACAAAAGAGACAGTCTTCCGGTTACATTGAGAGCGACAGCGAGATGTGTTCCGGTGTGTAGATACAGCGCGATGTACGTCTGCATATTTCAGGACTTGTTGCATTCATGCGCCCGCCCAGCAATCTCCGCCCTCGCATCTTCTCGGATGTCTTTGCTTTCGCTTGCCAACGGGAAGAGACTGCGCCAGAAAAGAAGAAGTCTTCCGTTAACGTGAATCTTATAAACGTCGCGCGCACGTCCGGAGAAAATGAGCGGCAGCTGGCAAGACCGTCTTATTTCCATCAGGCGCGATAAACATGCCGATGCGTTCTCGAGAAGGTGTCCTGCGCGTTCGAGGAAGACCGTATTCTGAGGAAACAAGATCGACGATGCCTTTTTACGAGCACGAAAATTCTTGCAGCTGCTCCTTCTTTACTCGAGAGTTTTTGAGAGAACCGTATCGATATTTTTAAAATTGCGCAGATGAATATTAAATGTTCGCCAAAAACCGGGGATCTAATTAGAGACTCAGACGTATTCTGATCGCAAAATAGAGTTTTTTGGAGTAAAATTTCTGAGAAATATTTTTTTTTTTTCACAGACACATTGTCCGCAGGTAATTGTAGTCTCACGTAAGCTTAGACGTGAACATACAGACTTCAACATCTTTCTTTGGCTTCCACTCCGTACGTCCGTATCGAGAGGGTCGACGCGTGTTGTCGCTAATCCGATTTCATCGTTTTAACGAGGTGAACGATCGACACGCTCGTTCGATTAGAAGCCGAGTTGGGTTTATTTTTTCTTGTTAACGACGCGCACACAGAGAGCGGATATAGACGCGGCGACGGAGGTGGGCGCGTGCAAGGGTGTGTGACGAGACGGGAGGGAAACGCGGGGTGAAAGTAATTATTTGTGTCCACCGATTGGCAGCGGAAAGTACTCGCGACGACGATGAAGCGCGCACGTGCGCGCGATGCCGCTCCCGATACACTCGCCTCGCCTTGCTCGCTCGCGGTGTGTTACGGTATTTTTAGCGGGGCGCGTAGACCCGCGGCAACAGGCCGCACAGCCTCCTCCTGGTGCTAACCTCCGAGGAGTGACATCCTAATGATGAACCTTCCATTTCTCCACGTGCTGTGTGCGGTGTTCTTCAATCGCTTTCCGGTCGGTTTTTCATGAAGGAAATTGACGTCAAAGTTGTTCTTGCGTTCAACACAGTTGTTTGATTTCGAATAACGTTCGCTACAAAACGCAACTTCTGCGGAGACAAGTTTCGCCTTGTCACTTCTCACCGCCTTACTTTTTATCGCATAGATATCTTCTGTAATTTTTATCGTGTGTTTAAGTTGTTTCTTTCAACTGCTGATATCAGCTGAAATAAAACTTCTTGTTAGACGCTCTAGTTTTCTTTCCGTAAACAAGTAAGCTGTGAGACCGACATCGCGTTACAATTAATTGAGAAGTGTGAACGCTTCTCTGAATAAAGCGTGTTCGCACGCGGAGTTCGCAATCGCGATCGCACGTTCAACTATCGTGAAATTGTGATTCACACGCATTTCTTTCCGTGTAAAACAGTCGTGTAAAAGACTTCGCGACGATGTGTGACTAATGCTACAAATTTACCGTTCGATTAACACGGTCATTCGCACAATGTCTCTTCTCTCCTTTCCTCCTTCTCTCTTTCCGTTTCAGTCTCTCCGACAAAGGTCAGTCTATTCGAGCGTGACGTGTTTAAAGATTACAACCGTGACGTCATGACGCGTCGTTGAATCAATGCCGTTGTGATTCACATCATGTATTATTATTAGTATTCGTTGCTCCCTCGATGTCACATATCCAGAAACGATTCTCAGGTGTTCGCGATAAAATCGTCCGAGTCCGTAGGTGGTTCAGAATTGCACTTGCACGAGATGCGCTCTCACAAGTTTCTTTCCTCGACGCCAACATGGCAAAATAAAATCGTTTAGACGGTGCTGTTCCAGATGTCTCTCTCTCTCTTTTTCTTTTTTCTTATCATAAAATCAAAATAATTTCTTGTCTATCATTTGAAAGATAAAACAGATTTGTATTTAGAAAGATTCTAGAGAAAAGATAAAATTAAAAAAGAGACTGTAGCACACAATATTCCAAGGAACGTCTCAAAGTCCGAGTTCTTTTTTTTCAACAGAATATACACTTACAGCGCAATTGTCTTTTCTCTGCAGAGAGTTAACATTAATTGTTTGATCGAAATTGTGTGATGAAATAATTTCCCAACTAAATTAATCGCATTTCTTCAATTAATCAAAATTGACCGATTATCCGAAACAATTAAATATAACCTAGAGCGATTAAGTGTCGGGTTACTTTCAAAAAAAAAATGCACTCGGTGAGAAGACAAGCATTTACCGATAAGTACATCGACGAGAGTGCTCCGAAGTGCTCTTATTGGAAATTCTGTCATTCCGCAAATTTGCGTGCACGTGATCAGTGTACGTTATATAGCCTCACTGGGTCACACTCAATACATACGTACTATGTACAACTTACATATGTACAACGTGTATATATGACAACCTCTTTACACCCTCGCGTCTTTCGCGAGGTAGGCAAGAACAGACGAGAGAGAAAGAGAGAGAGGAACCACTTAAAGAATCCGACTGTCAATCAGGTCAAATAAACGTGCGCTCACACACATGTACACACGTGTATACGTAAGTACGTATGAACGGTCGTCGTTGCTACACGGTATGTAGGTTTCTCGTCGACGAAAATAGCGTTCCGATACTATACGAGGAGGAAAACTCTCTTTTCCCCCGTCAATATAAGCCATTTACGGGAAAGTTTGCGCGATTTCGAGCTTGACGATTGCGTATACAATAGAAATTGCGTGTACGTGCGTACGTGTGCGCGCACACACTCGCGCGCGTTCTCGCTTCTCTTTTATCGTTGGGTAATCGTCGCACGACGCCCACGACGGCGAGAAATCGAGAACTCGTTCGCAAGAAAAGCTCGGGATTAACATCGCTACAGCTAGTATTTTTACATCCCTCACTTAATAATACAATCTTTGTACGCGCGTAAACATATGCAATATTAAAATTACGTCGTCGATTTTACTGCTCCTTCCTCTCTCCGATACCTTTTTAAATTATTATTCTCTATCTGCTTGCGACTTTCACTTTTGCGCACTATCACGGTTATCATATGCTAAATGTTTTGCAATCATCTCTTCTCTCCTCGCTCGTTCTCCTCTCTCTCTCTTTCTCTCTCACGTATGTTCTTCGGCCGCAAATGGATAAGATCTGTCTCGGACGTTTCGCTCATCTACAGGGATACGATAGAAAGCTCTGAATAGGAATATGTGCATACGCATACGCGCGCACGTATACGTATGCACACATGCTCATGCCGGCCGCGGCGGGCCGGCTAAAAATAGCGGGAATTCGTACCTTACGGTGTGAACTCTCGAGCAGGAATTATCTCGTCTCTTTCTTACACTCTGGTCTCTCTTTTTCTCTTTCTCTCTCTCTCCACCGTTTCATCCAACTGTCCGTCCGTCCGTCCGTTCTCGCGATCCTCGAGCAAGTATATCATCCACCAAGTCGAACACGGAGCGCGAACCGCACCGCAAAATTTCCTTTTCACGCGCACACGCGAAAACAAAAACGTTCGCAGTTTGTCGGCCGCCGGTCACACGGCGACGTTTCCCGAGATTTCTTCAATTATCGGGAGACGCGCGGCATGTTTCCACTTCATTTTGTTGTCGAGCACCATCCGCGGAACGACGACGACGACGACAACGACGGCGACGACACGGCGAACATCTCGAACGCTGCCATCGTCTTTATTTACTAATTTTGGACGTGAACGCCGGGAACGGACGGCCGTAACCAGGATGCGACGATTGTGGCGCCAGATCACCGATGACGAGTTTTATCAGAACTAGCGATGTATTGGATCGCTAATGCTCTCGACCAATCAGAAATTTCAACGGTCGCACGGGACTGGTTGAAGACCCGTTCCACTAAAACAGTTGTAAGCTGTAAGTCGCAAGAAATTGACCAATCACAATCGCGATTATTTTTCTGCAATTTGTCTGTGATTGGTCAATTTCTTACGACTCGCAGCTTACGTTTGTATTGTAAAACAGGCCGAAGGCGCGTTCAGATCGTCGTTGTAAGAACACATGTGGACGGGAACGCAAGTGTTAATTTTAGAGAGGAAAGGGTTAATGTTAAGGAAAGGGTTATTGTGTTAATGACCTTGTCTCTTTCTCTCTCATTGTATAGATTATAAATTCGTAGATAATAGCATAGATATAAGAAAAGCAACAGTAGTAAATTAAAAGTAATCCAAATAAAAATGAAAAAAGAAACCGAGCAAAATCTAAAATATTTGTCAGGCGTACGCAGCCGGTCAACCAATGGCAGCATGCAGCCTGCCACGTTTCAGGTGTAGTAGGGTATCGTCACGTATGCTACGCCGAAAATATCGGACCGCCGTGTTGGATCGTGTCACGAGCCGCCTTCCTCGCGGGCTGACAGAAACATGCAAAAATTGCAGATTCTACGACAGTTGGACGTGCATCCGAAGGTGCGCGAGGAGGCCGATATTCTCGTGAGAACTTTCAGCGGTGCTATCGGTAAATGCCATCAGAATGTCATGTGTCACTTTGCCGCGATTCTCCGTAAACTCCGTTGAGTTCTGCTTTGTTACTTTCGACCGTTTATTTGGCGAAAGCGAAATACGAAAATGTAAAAAAAAAAAAAGAAGAACTTCACGTTTTATCGTGTCAAACAATTGGTACGCACGAAGTGACTGTCGGCAAGTGGTTAACCTCGCATCACTTGAAAAAATATTTCTCGTTGTATTTTCTTTGTGTTTGTTGTACATGTGTTTTAAATCTCATATTTATTAAATGCAATCTTTTGTTTAACGACTTTTCATACATGCATGTGCAGTTGAATCGTGTCTGTTTCCCGTTTGACGTTTTTTTTAGACACTTGCAAGAGTCATTGTTTACATTCGGTCAATAGTAAATAAAGCGCAGTTTGACGGTATTACGATCGATAATGATCGATAATTCATATTGTATATTGTGCTTTTTTTTCAGTTACAATTATTAGTACATTCATTATGGGCATATTGTTTCTGTCAGAGGTGAACTATTATCTTACACCTACTTTGAGCGAAGAATTGTTTGTAGATACGTCTAGAGGTTCTAAGTTAAGAATCAACTTAGATATAATAATTCCCGCTATATCTTGTGATCGTGAGTATGCAAAATGTCATCATCAATATGGATGGGGAAAAAGATAGGAACAGTTTGTAATTTCAGTATTTTACAGTTTTATCAATAGACGCAATGGATACAACTGGTGAGCAGCATTTGCACATTGAACACAATATTTTTAAAAGGCGATTAGATTTGAACGGTAAACCTATAGAAGATCCACAGAGGACAAGTATGTATAGTAGTTTTGACAGTTGACATGTACAATATCAAAACAGGATTGGAACATTTGTGTAAAAAAAATATTTATTGCAGATATTACAGATGCCAAGACTATCAGTAAGACCACAGAGAAGGTAACAAAGAACTTTTATATACGTATCTTCTGATTAAGAAATCGTTTGCAAACTAGTTATTATTGGATAGACCATTTTTACAGGCGTTGGAGATCAGTTCTCCCACAGAGGCTTGTGGAGACTGTTACGGAGCGGCCACAGATGTGATCAAGTAAGGGAGAAAGAGATCTACTTATGTAACAAAAATTTAAATCTGTGACACATGGTTGTAAGATACAATTTTTTATTGACAGATGCTGTAACACTTGTGAGGAAGTACGAGAAGCTTACAAACTCAAAAGGTGGGCCCCGCCAGATCCAGCTAACATTAAACAGTGCCAGAATGACAAGTCCATGGAAAAAATTAAACACGCGTTCACGCAAGGCTGTCAAATCTATGGATATATGGAAGTAAATCGAGTCGGTGGAAGCTTTCACATTGCACCGGGTGACAGTTTCTCTGTTAATCATGTTCATGGTGAGCATAACTGAGCATAATCAAAATTCCAACATTTTACACTTTTATGAATTTTTTTTCTAATGTTTGCAGTGCATGATGTTCAACCTTATACTTCAACTCATTTCAATATGACGCACAAGATTAGACATCTAAGTTTTGGGCTCAACATCCCAGGAAAAACAAATCCCATGGATGACACACTTGTAGTTGCTTTGGAAGGTATGGTCCATACTCCTTAAAACTATTTTTATTAAGAGAATTCAAATAACCTGTAGATTTTACATTACAAACAATTCAAATAATCCATATAAGTAGCACTATCCACACACATATTAGCATCGTATTCCTGTTCCGATAGCCATAAAAGTGCCAAATGTGCCACCACCTTGAATCATCACTTTACCGACATTATTTAATAGTTCTCTTCCTCTCAGTCCGTATCTAGTGAAAGAATTTATGAGTATGCACATTCAAAGCATCTGTAGGTTATATTTTTCGTGTTTCACCGATACCTAAGTGCAGAGAATCCTCCAAAAAGTGCACCAGAAGCCATCCCTACACAAAATCCAATTGCAAAACCTAGTTTCATTCTATCGAAACAAGAAGGTCCTTGCTGATAAGCTCCTCCAGGTACCACAGGCATTCTGCAATCTATAAAACTATTGACTTCAATGTCTATTGGTTCTTTGCACATTTGTTTTTACACTTAAATGGGGAGTGATGATTTACAATAGAAAAACATTAAATAAAAATTCACTGTTTGAATTTGAAGAGAATTGTAAATTTTCTAACTCTCAAGAGAAACTCAAATATTTTAATACGTGTTTTAGACACAGTACGCGTGGTTTTTAAAAATTGATCTGTGTGCATGTGAGAGGTTTGTTTATTTACGTGTACACTTACTATTAAATTGTTCGTTTTATAAATCTTGTGGCGCTTACGATCTGTCGCGTTCGTGTTTTTATTTTTACTTTTCAATTTAAGAACTTAATCACGAGAGTCTGAGTGCGACTACTGAGATTCAACACATTGCACTCGTATCGCAATTTCGGGAAGGCGCCATGATGGTTTTCGACGCGACGTGCTAAAAAAGACGGCTGCGCTGTCTGCTATTTCCGCGTTTCGTCTCTTATAAATGCCGGCACAAGCGGGAAATTCAAACTGCGCGTAATTGCGAAAACATCTCTGTGAGATCAAATTTAAACCAACGAGTATTCTCATTAAAATTGTTTTAATTATTCATTTTAATGTTTATTTGCTTCTTTTCCGAAAAAAATGCAGGAACTAGGCAAAAAGTACGCACAGGTTTTTATAATAGTGGAAATTATGAGTATTTAGGAAAACCCGCGCACACACACACTTTCTCGCTATTAAAAATACTGCAGAGTCGCTAACGCATATTTTAATTGTTTTCAGGTGCTATGATGTTTTATCATTACATCAAAATCGTTCCGACGACGTACGTCCGTGCGGACGGCTCGACTCTGTACACGAATCAGTTTTCGGTAACGCGGCACGCGAAACAAGTGTCTCTGTTCACCGGCGAATCCGGAATGCCGGGTGTATTCTTCAATTACGAGCTGAGCCCGCTCATGGTAAAGTACACGGAGAAGGCGAAGTCGTTCGGTCACTTCGCGACGAACACCTGCGCGATCATCGGCGGCGTCTTCACCGTAGCCGGACTTATCGACTCTTTGCTCTACCACTCGGTACGCGCGATACAGAAAAAGATAGAACTAGGAAAATACAATTGATACATCGATCTGATTGCAATAACATTGATTAATCTCTAATCCCGCTCTACTTTCCGTTGGAAAAATTTCTATTTTCTTTCTCCATTGTGTTATGAGAACACGTATGTTATTTGAAATTGACAAAGGAGTTTTAGAAATTTAATTACAGAGTTGAAAATAGATTAGGATTAGCGTTAATCGTTGGCATAACGCACAGCATAGATAAATATTTAAACGAAATAACGAGAAATTTTACTTACGATGACCACGTGCATCGATGTTTCTACTGACCAACCAACAACTTTCTCACGTGGATTTTTATCTCATGTTTAGTATTATAAATGTAGCTAACAATTGCCGTTTTATATTGCGAATAATTTTGCGAAGATTATATAGATAAATAAAATTACGAATCAGATAGCAATGTTTGGCGTATGCGCGATTATTTTAACACTTTCTTTTCACAATACAAAAAAAAAACAAATTTTACACAAGCGATGATATATGTATCAAAGTATACTTTTTCTTTTTACAAAAAAGAAACAATATTGCGCAAAATTTCTCTACGTAATAACTAGTAAAAATAATTAATATGTAAAAAAAACGGTGTTTGTATATGTGTACATAAAAAACCTGTCAACATGTATAAAAAGAAATTGAAGAGATTTGTATGGAAACAAAAGTGTTGTGTTCTTTATGGCGTAAACTAACACTCGCACGGGAAACAAAAAGGAACGAAAGTTATGTAACATATAAAGTTTTTTGACATTTTATTTAAATTAACTACAATTAAAATGTTTTTAGAAATGTGTTGTATATGTCGATAGATGTCTTTGCAATATCGCTGCAAAACTCTAGGTCTGTGCCACTAACCAAGGCTCGTGGTGAAACATACATTGGTTTTGTAGGATCATATTGCGCTCTCTTTAGTTCCACCAAAAACATGTGCCTCTGTTGGAGCCTGCTGAATCTACATAGTAAAATTTGCGGCATCTGTACAATAATATCACGTGACAACTGCATTTCATCGTGAGCATAATCAAACACTCTCATCAGGTTTTTACGATCTAAAAACAAGATAGAAAGAGAGAAAAGTATTATATAGATATTTTTTACAAGAATCTCTTGAAGTTAAGTTGCACGCTTACTTTTTACCCATAGTCTAGGCTTTTTAAGAAGCAACAATTTTACTTGGTACTTGTCAAAACCCATCTCTTCTCTGATGGAGAATGTATTTGACATTATGTGTAACATGTAGTAAGTTACTACTTTAGGTGATATCACTGCTAAGTGTCTTACTTCCGAACCGTTGAGTCCAAAATTACTTTGAAAATAGCCAAGTCTGCCATCAATGAACTGTGTAGAAAATGACAACCATTTGGGATTTCCACAGACTATCTTCTGTATCATTTCCACCGTAAAATCATGCGCTCTCAGATATCTTATTCTTGTGTGAAGATCGTCCATGTCTTCTTTGAGGATGTTGGGATTCTTTGTAAAAAACTCGCCTAAAGAATCAGCTGGCACGCCGCACTCGTACAGAAATCTTATGTAAGGTTTTACATCCCGATCGAAATCAAGACCGAGAATAAATTGTACCATGTTTACATCCGACTCGAGTTTGTACAAGTGAACCCCGAGTTTCACCAGTTCCCGAATCGTTCGAGATTTGTTCGCGTACTTGGCAAACGTGCAAGTCGGAGTGAGATACGGACCGATATCTGATAGATCTTCCGCGCACGTGTCCAGAGGTTTCGGTAACGTTATGTCACTATCGTCGAGAGATTCTTCAGCGGGCAAATTAGGAACAATACCTCGCTGAAGTGATATTGAGTTTGTAGTAGTTTTCGAGTTCCGCCAAGAGTCTTCCACATCATTCTTATTGTCGGCCGCGTATTTCGATATAATATTCGTTTCAGAAATATCAACTTGATTCCTGTCGATCTTGTTCGGCAAGCATTGTCCGAGCGCATTGTTGTTTGTCGAAACAAATCGCGTGATTATTAATCGCACCGTCGCCGGTCGTGCCGCGGCAACAACAAACTTGCAGCAACGTTGAAACGACATACTCGCCGTTGTTGCCGATTAACTTAACATAACGTAAAACTACGATTTCTAAAAAAAAGATGTTTTATAAAAATACTTTTATATTCGATGTTTTGTACAAAACAAGATCTGAGAAAAACAGCAGTAATTAGAACAAACTTGGAATTTGGAGGTTAATCACGAAACAAAAGCTCACTCTAGAAGATCCTCCTCTTTGATGTTCACTAGCGCCACGAGCGTTTGACGGTTTACGCGTGTCAACTGCACGAAACAACCCGGTAGATAAAAATGTCATCTTTTCGACCGACTTGGTTCTGTTCCGCGCTATATGTCGATTCGATATTTCGATTCTCGAAATACCGCGCGCTTCGATACGTTCGCGAACAATCGTGATAGACGCGCGACACGGAACGGAACTACGCTCGTTGTTGTCCTGTGTTTCTCGCGATTATTATCGTTTCGCGCGCAAATATCAGTCGTGCGGTCTAAAGCGTCGAGGTAAGTGTGAGATGTAGCAATGTATAATTAGTATTTGATGAGTTGTAGTAATGTATAATTAGTATTTTAGTAGATTGTTTCGCGATTCTACGCGCGCGAAGAACAAAATGGCGGACGCGCGACGCGAGAAGAAACTTCTTTCGAATTGATACGTACTTTTCGCGATTGTTGTCGTCTCGCGCGCAAATACGCGAGTACGTGAAGGTTTTGGACGTTCCCATTGACGCGTGATTAGCAGCTCACTAATGACGATAAGAGGCGAGACCAGCGTCAGAATTCCTGATAGCGATATTGTTGCTACGGAGCGGGATGGAGTTTTTAATCAAGTAAATACATCGACATTGCAAAATAGTAGATCACATAAGTTGCTTTTATTAATGTTAAATAATATATCAACGTTATATTATTTGTTTCGATCATTTTCTACGATTGTGAAAGTAGCGCTGCGAATATCGCGAATTGTTACGCGTTCGATTCGATACTTCGAGAATCGCAATATCGCGCGCTTCGATATATTCGTGGAAGAAGAGGCAGTCATGGCGGACGTGCGACACGGAGCAAAGCTTCATTCAAATTGTCTCGTGTTTCTTGCGATTATTGACGACTCGCGCGCAAATATCGGTAATACGCGTGGGTAACAAAGTACCGGGAGTTCGCGGTAATATTTAATTAGCATTGCGCACTCGCTGACGAATGTTAATGAACGATTTAGTGCAATTGTTTGGCACGAGCCGTTCGCGCGAGACGCAAAGTATGTTCGAATTGTGTTTCGTATTTCTCATGATTTTATATGTTGTATCTTCGCGCGCAAATGTCGGTGGTGAGAATTGTTTTTGTAAAAAGTTGTTTTTGTTTCTAGCAAGCAGCATTGGAATGCCTGACGCTCGCATAACACTGAGAAGTAAACAAGTAAAGAATGGAGGAAAGAATGACTTGTGTGCACGAAGCAGTACTTATGTTTCAACTCGTTCGTTCGTTTGTCTGTCGGCAGCGTGGATATCGCACATCAAGAACATAACTATGTAAAGATTTGTTTTTTTGTAAGAACACATTTACGTACTGCAACAAATATTTTACATATTGAAAACTACACCATTCTCTTACATAAAATGTTATCGCGTCTTTCAAGTTTTCTATATTTTTGTAACTATTTATAACAAAATATTAATTAGTATTATTAGTTTTGCATTATTTTTTGTTTTTTTTAAGACGGTGCGAAAAGAGATTGCCTATTTATTCCTCGTTCAAGCTGTTGGAATTTCTACGCGAATTTCTATCACGACTTTGATCAATTTTACTTTTATTACGATTTGTTTTTGTTTATATGTTTTCACGTACATATGCGTCATAATTATATAATTAATATAATCATTTCCAGTAAAAACTTGCAAACATATTTTGGTAGAAACACAAATTAAAAATAATACATGCGAGAGTCAAAATCCGAGAAACTTCGCTCGATTTGTATGGATCTATTTGTCGTCAGACTCGCCTCAGTAGCAGTTAGATGCAAAAAGATCCATTGCTATCTTCGCTGCTCACGGGGAGGTCTGGCGACAGATCAAATCGTGTGGATGTTTTTAGGATATTCTAAATATTTAGAAGTATACATTTGTTAGTATATTTGTTATAAGTCGTGATACATAAATTCGCGCCACGCACGAAGGACGTCCTTAAACATCGGAGGATCTTATTTGGATTGTTGATGACATATATTAATTACAAGGTACACATTACGATACTACTCTTTAACAATTTAATAACTTCATAAGTAATTGTTTATTATTTTTTTAATTCGCGCGCGCGTTGTTTTCTTTTCAGATATGGACAGTTTTATTTTACATGGATCGAAGAGAAGATTGCAGTACCGGAGGAGCCGATTCGTGCCATCTCAAGGAAGACTGAAGATCAGTGTTGAAGGACGCATCGGAGAGGTGTTTATTTTGCTGAACGGAGAAGCCAATTCGGGAAATCAGGTGCTGGCACGAAGGTATGTTGTTTTCACAATCATATTTTTATGTGTAACTTATAACGTCAAATACATTTTCTTATAGAAAATTTCGAAATTTTTATTTATCTATTAAAGCCACATATATTTTGATATTTAAACAAAAGTTAGAAACTTGCCTTATATCCTACAATAAAAAGAAAATTTTCTTTTTGTTACAGAGTTACAGAGTAGCAGAAAGTGGCCAGCGCTTGGTGAGTACACCTTAGGGTTCTGGTTATGGTTTAAAATCAGTGCGAACCGCGTGTTGAGATCTTTGTTTTTTAAAAGTTTTGAAACGTCGAGCACATAATTTGTATAAATTTTGTATTGATATTTTAACGCAATTATGGTACTTACTAATTTCACTTTAAAATATAAATCTTTTTCAAAAATAAGTTATAGTAACAATTGCTGGGATTGTTATATATTTATTAAAAAGTCAAAAGAAAGAAACGAGAAATTAATATGTCATTTTTTAATAAAAATTATTTTTGACATATATATCACTACATGTATATGATAATATGATTTTACATAATAAGATATATATTATTTTTGATATTTTTGTAAATTGTTCTCGATGTTTTAATCTTTATCAAATTATTGTCCGCTCTATCTGCGTCGAAAATGACGTTTAATTGCGCCATAAAATGCCAAGTTTTAGATTAAAATCGCGATTATTCCGCGTAAAATGTTAAATTAATTTTGTTAATTTTATTATTTTATTTATTTTTGCAATACTCTAAATTTGATATAATTGAATCGGAGTTTTTCTATTTAAATTTGTGCTATATATTTTGAAGTTGTACGCGTATTGTTGTGTAGAGTCACGAGCGTTTTTATTATACAATTCGCAAAAGTACATGTAGTATCATGCTTCGGTTGAACATAAGAAAAAATAATTCTCGCAAACCTAAACTGCGGAAAAGTCTTCGCAGTGATATATCGTGGAACCAACATGAGACTTGCGTAACAGGATTACGCAAACACAGGATTACGCAAACACAGGATCACACATCGAAATAAATCGAAACTTTCGTTCCGATGTAAAAATATTTTTTATTCGAGTTTTTTAAAGTGTTATTCGAAGTTTGTCAAGTCGTATTATTTTGAGAGTGAAATGCGCGATATTCAATTTCACATATTTGCAAATGCTTTTAGTTGAAAAATTCATTTTCCGTTTTATTCGAGTAAAGTAAAAAGTTCGGTAGTGATTAAAATGTGGACTCTGAAAAAGTGTAAACTTTGAACTGTGTTGAAACTTAAATTTCGCGTGTGTGTATTGAATATATTTCGCGTCTTCCGCGTCGCGAGTGATAAAAAGTGCTACGACTACGTAGGACGACGACGCGAAGTCTGTTGGGTCACTCCCGTGGGAGACCGAAAGTTGGAGAGGAAGATGCATCGATGGACGACGAAGGGACCGCACAAATATAAGTTACAAACTCAACTTTTATCACATGTTCTTTTCAGCTAAAAGTTTTTTTATCTTTATTATACATCGAACGCGTATTGGCAATTTTATAATTCAAAATTAAATTATATTTAAAAGGTTTCAACTTATTGTATTTATTTATTTGTTCAAGAGATTTTGTTATTTTTATTAAACTGAATCTATATAAAGACTAGACTTAAATGTGCAATTTATATAAAAACATATGTATTTATTCAATAGCTGAAAAGAACAACTTGTACATTGCATGCGTAGTAGTCCGCCTATATTTCGCACTGATTTCCGATGCGCAAATAAAGACAGTCATACATCTTAGAATGATTTTCTTTATTTGCTATTTTTATATTTGTGGTGGTGGTATATATATATATATAAATTTTTATTTGTATATTCATATTGTTTTTATTGATATTTATATTCATCTATTAATTTTGATGTGTGTATTGAATTTCTGCATATAATTTGAAGTTTTATATTATCTTTCCACTTTCTAGACTTGTTTATAATTCTCTCTTACATTTTTTTAACATTTTTAGAGTTCTTTGACAGTTATGAATTCTTTGAAGAATTCTTTCGTGAATTTTTTCTTGAATTGTTAGAATTTTTTCTAACTTCTTTTATATATTTTCTTAACAAGATTATGTTATAAAATCTACTTTTTTTTAAAATAAATCCCCTCAGACTTAAAATCATATCAACTAATGTGAACGTAAAATCATAAATTTGTACTCGCGTAAATTAAAAATCGCGTATTAGGAATAAATATGTTAGGTAGAGGATGGGAATATTGAAATAATTTATATTCACGTGTGTCATACTTCTAATTTGAAATTTTTATTCGTAACAAACGCTTAATAAACTTTATTCCACGTGTATCACTGTGTTGCTCTTCAGAACAGATGTTTAGATTCAACATGTACAGCAGACATTTGACATGTGTCATTGCAGATCTGTACAAGGTAGTCCACTTTGCTACATATACATATGTATGCGTATATATGTATGTATGGTATATGTTCTTCTGTGACTATCCACATAGGATATTAGAAATTGTGTTACTAGTTTTTTGTCTTATGTAAATCTCCAATGTATAAGACGTCTTTCTCGACGTAGTAGGTCTTCGCATCAACCCGATTATAAGCTTGCGCTAACGAGACCAGTGAGTTCTATATTATGCCGGAATTACGCTCATTCAAATAAAAGAGATTACGTAAAAATAAAAAAACACTCCGAGTGGAATAGAAGACAAGTAGAATCTTTTGTCTCTGTATATGTCGATCACCGCTACAACTCCACTTTCGTGCGAACACAATTCGTTGGTAATAACTAGTTTTTACAATATTATGGCCGGTGTGTTATTGCAATAAATTCGGCATAGTATAGAATTCACTGATTAAGGCACTCTATGCCAGGAAATATACTTAGCGTGCACGAGCGGCAAAATGAGACGTGAAACAGAATGCGCGAACGAAACACGAGAAACATATAATGCGTTCGAACGGATAAACGCGAATGATAACGCGATAGTACATGTGGCTGATCGTTTTAGAAACGCGTGTCACGCAACTAAAGTTGAAAATATATTAAAATATTACACTAAAATTAACTGGACGGCGGTTCAACACTTACATTAATCGACTCGTTTGCTGATTGCAGTCGTTGTACAAAGTGGCAGTAAAACAATGTAACTCGCGTTGTAAATTGTTTGTGATGAAAAATTAGTTTTTTCTTTTCTTATTCGTCTTACATCGACACTGGGTAAAAAAAATTTTTTGATGACGAGTTTCTGCAAGCAGAACGAGCCGTTGACATAAAACTTATAACGAACGTAAATACGCTATGGTGTATTTAATTGTTTAATTGAGATTCTTGATCATTAGGCAACAGTATCGATATCGCTCCGCGCGGCACGAAGTGTATAGCATTCTTTGTACTTTGATTACACGTGCCTTTGTTGTTTCGAGCGCGTGAACAGAACAAAAAAAAAAAAGTCATGGCCCTCAATTATTCGCGGTGGATTTCGCTGAATGAATTCCGAGACGCGCGATTGTCGACGTCGAATTATATTTGTTTGTCGTCAATTCGCGCATCGACTCGGTACCTTCCAGACTCAATTCGACATATTACGCCTGAGAAAACCAATTAATAGATCCAATTAACCGGCACCCATTGGTGCTCCGTGGCTAAAGAGTCCAGAGCTTCGACTACTTGTCTGAACGTGTTGTCGAAGTCTTCGTTCACGATCACGAGATCGATGTACTTCTCGTAGGCTCTCTGCAAAGCCGCGGATTCCTCCAACGTGGATCTGAGATCGTCTTCCTATATTGACGAATCGTTAATTAATTACTTTGTTCGGCGTGAATTTCAAGCGATGTTTATTTATATACTAAATGCGTTTTATTGAATTTTTACGCTAAGAAGAAATTAAGCATTTTCATGAAAATTCTATTGCGTGACTTTAAAACAATATTATGCAGGAAGATATCGTATTCAAATCTTATTGCTGCTGTAAGTAGTATAGTGCTACAAATAAAGGATATTGTACAAACGTGCTTCGGAGAATTACAATTACGGTGTGAATAAAAAAATGAAAAAATTCTCGATACTAAGGAAAAAACAAACGTAAATGTAACATGCAATACAAACCTCGTAAAGAGATGCGAGGGATTCCAGTGTTCTGGCTCTTCTCGAACTGTATCTGATGGAACTCTGGCGGTCGAACTAGCAAAAGCCAACATCAAATATATACAACGAATTAAAAATCAAACTGACGGGATAAAAAATAAAATTGAAGTACAACGAAACAAATTTACATGTTGCTAGCATTACAAAAATGGAGTTCAATGAAAATAGCTCTCTAGAAGAAGAGGGGGGGGGAGGGCAAAGAGAGTCAAACGAACAAGACAATTTTTGGATATGATATGAGAGACAATTTGTACAGAGAAAATGTTTGAAGCGACTTTTTCAAGGAGGCGAAAAATACCGTGAGATTTCGACTGCTGGCGCCGGTCGATCTTCCGAGATCGTACAGGGACTTAAGCTGCTCCATTCCGGGCGCGGCGATGAAAATGACGTAAGGCATGAATTCCGTGCTGTTGTGAAGGATCTTGAGCGCGGCCGGACTGCAGTCCAGCACGCACATCTTGCCGGATCTTATCATTTCTCGCACGGAGTCTAATTTCGTGCCGTACAAGTGTCCGCCGTGTTCACCGTGCTCCAGAAATCTGTGCTCCCTGATATCTTGCTCCATGCTCTCGCGATCGGTGAACCAGTAGCTCTTGCCGTCCTCCTCGAGAACTCTCGGTGGTCTGGATGTAACTAAAAAAAAAAAAAACCGATTATATTCTCGTAACTCCGCATTAATTGACAATATACGTGACGCACGTATTATTGATCAGGCGATCAGGAAGATTTCTTACAGGGTACAATAGTGCCGAATTTCTCGGGATCGCTGTTGATCAACCTGTTCTTCAGAGTTCGTCGGCCCACACCGCGCGGTCCTACCAGAGCCAGGGTCTTACGTCGAAACGGCGGCATCCGAGCGACCTCTTCGTAAAGCAGCAACTCGGCGCCGTCGAATTCGCCGTTCGACTTGGACTGGTACATCTTCCTCTTCTTCTTCTTGGATATCCTCGTGCCGCATATACTGATCTTGTGAACGAAATCGGCCTCGGGCGGCACGAAGGCCTTTCTGCGTTCCTCCAGCTCCAACGAAGGTATCAAACCGGGCGATCCGAGGCTCTCGCCCTCCACCCGTCGCGCCTGCCACCAGTTCGGATCGGCCTGATCAACAATCTGCAGAATGTCACCCTTCTGGAAGGGCAGACCGATTTCTCGACAAGGCAAGAGCGTGTCCTCCGACGGATTGTAATCGAAGAGAGCTCTCATGTAACACTGTAACGACAGATCAAACAAGGCGAATCGACAACAAAGTCGTGATTTTCAATGTTACGCGACGTCGCATTTTCAACGCTTGAACGAGCACCGTGGAAGAGGAGGATAAAAACGTGACGGTTAGCGAAGGCATCGAGGTGGAAAAATAGCTCGATGTGCACTTACCGTAGACTTAAGAGACCGATTCGAATCAGAGGCGATACCCGGAGCTAATTTCAGAGATAAATTCTCCTTGGCCTCTTGAATCGCCTGCTGAAGCTCCTCGGGATTTCGAACCTGCTTGCCGTTGACTTCGAGTATCACCTCGCCCGTTCTCAGAAGTTCCTGACGAGCTGCTGTGCTGCCACCGAGAATCCTGGCTATCACCATGTTTCCGGACTCGTCGACCTGAATCGTCAATCCCTGAGAAAAAGATACACATCATCGGAAACGTCATCTCGCTTTTGTCGCGTCTGGGAAAGGATATGTTTTATGTGAGAGAAACACACACACAGTGGAGTTTCTTTTCTCATCTAATAAGAAAACGTCAATCAACGACGATTCCGAAAAGCCCAGTTTTGATATTAAAGAAGAAACGCAACAGCATCAATGAAACACACGCGGTAGTAGCAATCGTACTCGCTCGGTGAAAATAAACGTTTCAACTTATTTATGAACTGCAAGTGGCATTTCCGTCTTTTCTCTAAGCGCGAATCTGGCACGAGCTAACTCGAGGAGATTCTCTCACGATAAACTTCTCAATAAAGCCTCACATAGATTCTAGGTTTTCTTGCATATTTTGATTGAAGATTCTCTCGTTAAAAAACTTATTTATAGATATATGGTTTTCTATCAGACACGCAAACAAAAAAGATAAAAAAGAATATATTTTTGTACAGATAAAAAAAAGACGGTCTTCTGAATATTAAAACTTGTCACTTTGTACGCGTAAAAACCTACCAAAGGTTCATCTGGTTGTCTTCTAAGGCCGACCACCCTGATGGGCACCGCTTCCTTTTTGTTCGTCGGCATTGTCACTGTAACGGGACGCGATTCGGATGCTCTTCTACGTTCCACGATCGCGTCGTGCGTCTCCAGAAGAGCTCGTAAGTGCGGATTGCCGAGAAGGTTCACCAATTCCCGAGCGTACGGATTTCTGGAGGCACGGAAGAAGTGACACACCTCGTCGACGATGTCACAGACGGACGAGCATACCGGCTTCACGGGCACCGGCGGATCCTCGAGACGCTCCTGAACCTGGCACGCAGAGATCTCGAATCAACACCCGTTAAAACTGGTTTCTCATGGACGTAGATGTAATTCTTCCACAAAGTAACTCTTTCTCCTTCGCGCGCTTTAATCGTTTTTCTGTACATGTGACAAAAAGATCTTTTCTCATGTTACCTTCATAGTTTTATCTAAAGTTACGTACAGTCCGGTTGTTGCTTATTTTATTAATTCATAATATTTGCAGTTGTTTTGTTTCTTTTTTTTTTTTTTTTTTTTTAGAAAATGTACACGCTGAGAGATACATTTGTCCGCTGATTTATCGATATTGTTTAAACAGTACGTTCGTTACGTTCGTGCTCGTATTTAAGGTAACATCGTAAAACCGTAACTCTTGCTTGTGTGATCATGAAAGTCGGAACGGATTTCCGCGTTAAATTCACCACGAGATAGCACACGGTGCCTTACACGCTTCTTCTATCGGGGTCAGGAAGAGAAGCAAATGGAGAAACTATACACGTTGTTGAATCAACAAATTTCGCCGGGTATTCAATATTTGACCACTTTCGTACGCAATTTTGCAACATTAGTTAAACAAGCTTTTCACAAGCTCGAATACGTGTATGTTTTTTTTTCTTATCGCAGTTCGCAATATAAATTTCCATTTTAAAGTTTGTTTTAGAAAGTTATTTTTACAGTTTGTAGTAGGAAGTTGTTTTTAAATTGAAAAAAACGGCACACACTTAAACAATATATAAAAAAAACGTATAATAAAATACAGATAGAATATATTTAAAACAAATTTTATACAAATTAGAAAAATTAATGTATTACAGTCGGACTGTCAGATTTCTGTCTGTAAATGCGTTATTAATGACGATTGTAGTGCCGACAACCGTTGATTAAATTAAAGATAATGTAATCGACACGGCAAGACGGTAATTCTACGTTTGCTCGGAACGGAGCAGTGGTCACACAATAAACGAATACAATTGCAAAAGTGGGTCATTCCCTGACGATCGTCAATACAAAACCTATTACATAATTCATGTAACATATATTTCTTCAAAATTCTCTTACGGGGCGCTCACACGTTACTTGTCACAATTAGCGCGTTCACACACACACACTTGGAACGTTCAGTTTATTTATGTTTAATTTATTTTCGTAAACAAAAATATTTTAAAGTTCACACAGTTTATCTTTTGTCTGACACGCTTCTAGTGTCGCGCACGTATGTAAGAATGAACAAATGCGGGATTTATAATCGCAGGTTGTGCGATGATTCATCGTCGAATTATTTCATCGCGCGAGAGTTGCAGCAATTATACGTAGCTTTGTAGCGATCGCCAATATCGAGACGAGAGTTCTTTCGAGTATGCGCGCCGTGAGTTACGAAATTGTCTGCTGGTTTCTCCATTTCAAACGAGATTAAAGACCGGTTTTAAAATAGAGGCTATACATTTCTTTCGAAAAGTTTCTTTCCAATTTTTCCAAAAGTCTTTCCAATATTTTCTCCAAGTTTGTTTATTCGACGAACACGTCCACGTGCTCCGAAGTTCGCGAATCCGCTCGTTTATCACGCGGGATTTGTTAAAGCGATTCGTCACGGATCGTCGGATGCGAGATCGCGTCGAGAGAAATCGCGTTTCGTCGACCGATCAGATCGAAATTGCATCCCGACTTCGAGATTGCATCAAAATACGAGATTTATGAGAGACTACGTCAGAGATGCACTTATTATAGCCGCGCCCGCGATTGTTTATAAGCTATAAAACTTCCCGGAATTTGTTTATTCACTTTACCGCGGAGAGATCGCGAATCCTAGATGAATCGTCTCGCGAGAAACGAATAGCTCCGCTCGATTTGCAAATCATCACGATTCGCGCGAGGAGAGCAACAGCCACGCCACAAACTTGGCAAGCAAAATCGCGTGAGTAAACGCGAGAAAACGAGGACTTTTCTTCCGTTTCTCTTCCGTGTATCATCGTGAGATTCGATTCGTTAAAGTTTTTTCTATCTAGTAAAAAAGAAATTCGACTCGACAATCGGTCAGAATCGATTTCCGCATCGGTTCTACGAATTCTCAATTATTGTCGCGTCGCGTACTTCTTAATGAAAAAGAAAAAAAAACAAACGTGGCGCTCCAATTACGAACTCCGTTAAATGTATGTACTTGGCGTTTTTCTTCCGGAGCGCCCTTTTCCAACTTCACTCAAAGAAAGAAAAACAAAAAAAGCCGCGAGACGAGAATAATACTTCCAGATGATACTTTACCGCCGCTTTTCGACGATGCTCACCACTCACCTCGATGAGAGAAGGCTGTAGCGCGGTGTCTCGACCGTACTGGCGTCAAATGCGTGTCGATGCTCCCGCGGTGGTTATCGATCGGCGTGAGCCGAGAGAACCGGACAAATATGACGAGAAATTAGACCTAACACACAGGGGTTAGAGAAACGCAAACGACATATGTTGACGAGGGTGGCAAGCTTTCTGGTTCGGTATGTTGCGCGACACTCTGGCTTAGGTAAGCAACGTCAGAAAACTGCCGCGCCTATACTGACGTCGCGCATCCCTTCTCCGTGGACAGCCCGTTCAGGCGAGTCGTTTTCTGCCGTTCTGAAACAGGTGGGGGCCCTTCCTCTCCTGGCAATGCAACACTTCGCTACGTTCGCTCCAGGAGCGTAACCGCGCATCGCTGAAGCCACGGGTCGTCGTCGCTTTGTGTGACAAACGTGCACGCGATTGGTCTTTGTCAAGCGCGTTTCTTCCGGAGAGATCGTCGAGTGCAAATTATTTTCGGTGTCGGAAATATAATGCGTAGGTCTTGAATTGAACGAATTGAATCTGATCTTGATGTCTCTCGTCTACTCTTTAGAAGAGATTGAAAAACTCCAGTTTTTAAAATACGTGATATGAGATTAATGGGATTTCTCTTTTTTTTTCTTCTTTGTTTTCTTTGTTTCTTTGTTTCAAACGGAGAAACAATATAAATATGAAATTGCTTATCTAATCTAGGACATTGTTAACGCAAGTGAGTCCTTTTTTGAAGCTATTTACAATTCTTTTAATTAACGTTTAAAAAGTACTAACGTTTAGTAGTAGTAGTAGGTAGTTTGTTAACGGGACAAAGAATAATTGCTTTCTGTGTTACAGAGTTTCTTTTCTATCTTCTTTCAAAAGATCCGTAGAACAAGTAGAAAGAAAACAGATTTGTCATTTTGTAACATTCTTATCGCGTCATTCGCTCTTCTTCACATTATTTATTTTCTTGCAAATAATATCCAATAACAACGAACAATATTTGTAAATATATTTTAAGCAGACTGCGTGTGGTAGTGATTGCTTCAAATTTCACAACAGATAGTGATTCGTAGACTGTTTTACTTCAACTTACGTGCGTAAGTAAGTTTTATAAGAACTAAGCAATTTATTCGAGTGAGTCAATGAATTGCAAATAACGTCAATGGTAATACAATACGTCCAACGATGATGAATGTACGGTGACGAGCAAAATCCGATTAGTTGTTGATTTATCAGCAAATTCTGATTTCTCGTTAATTTGACGCGGTAAAAAAATTTAAAAGAAGCGCCGTCTTCGCGCTGTAGAAAAACGATTCTGCTCAAGTATAAATAAATAAAAAAGCAAATTCACCTGCGCGAAGTATTGACTTGATTCCGCAACAAGATAAGAAAAAACCGAGTGTTTGATAAGAGTTTACGAGATGCGTGTATACAGTCCTGTCATCTGCACACGTGAGCCAACAACATGTTGTACGTTTCTCCCACTTCCTCTTGCGATTACAAAGCCCGACTCACCGAATGAAATTACATCGTCGTATGTACACGCCACGACGTCGAAGAACACGCACGTAAACCGCGTGTGTCTTCGTGTTCGCGACACGCATGCTCGCGTCTGGATTTCTGCGAGTAGAAGCGATGACTCCTATGGAGGCGCCTATGACCCGCTCAATTAAAAGGTCCCGCGAGGTCGCGGGTAATTATCATTCGTGACGTGACATCACGAGTAGAAGAACAAGAGCAGATTCGCTAATTAAAGAAGGGGGGATCATCGTAAATCCTAATTCTTTTCCCTAGTAGATTTATAATCCGTTTTATTCGTTCAAGTTGTGACGAAAATTCCGATTCTTCTTTCCACAAATATGTTTAGCTTGTTTTCTTTACGGTCTTCTACTTCGTTTTTCGGTCATCAATTAGTCGGATTGAATTTATTCGCACTTCTACGAGAGAAAGATTTTTCTCGACTCAGTTTCTCTGCAAAAGTAGAGAGACCAGGTGTGGTTGTCAGCGCTTTCTATTGTTGATTCAATTCGACGCGAAAAAATTCGACGGGAAACGTGAGTCGAGTCTTTAATAGCTTCTCGGACGCTCCTACCTACCTGTCACGTGTTCTACCTGCGCGCCAGGTAAACTATCGGAATGTGGGTCCGCGGTGATTCAAACGAGGGGAGAACGAGCGTATCACGAATGCGCACATGTGCAGACGACGAAGAGATACTGAAAAGATTCTTTAAAATTTTAAAGGAAAGGAACAAGTCGAGAAAAACTCGATTCATTTACCGTACAATTGTGTAAATATAAGAGTAAATTTATAAACATTTATATATTATGAATTTACTCTGTGTCTTTTGCGATAAAAAAAATATTATATCAGAGAAAATTCGAACTTATAAACGTCAAGAGATATATTACCATACACAACGTCAATATAATTAATTATTTAAGACAAAAAACTCTTTCAATCTCAATATCTCGAAACTTTTATGCTTTCAAACATTTTGTCTCTTTGACGTAGAAAGGATTGCAATTGTGATATCGATTTTACATATCTGCGAATAATCAACTGCCGTGGAATAGATTGCGTCACACAATAACATTTTCCAGTCCATCGCCGGATATAATATTTTTGTCGAAGGCCATCTCGAGATACGCGGTGTTCGTCGCGCTTCGCGAGAAGTGTGTCGCGACCGAAATAGCGTGGGAGTCGCGGGTGTATTCAAGTGGCGTGCGTATGATGCAAGCAGCCATACGTGAAAGCACGTGCAGATCGAAGAAAAATAACGTCTGTTCCCGAAATTATTTTTTTTCCATGATGCGAGTAACGAACGGAGAGTGTTCGGCTCTCGCTCGCGTCGTCGTCGTCGTCGTCGAGCGCGCGAAGCCCGCTCTAGTGAAACGATGTTATTTGCTCCTCGTGAGTTAATAACACAGAACGTTCGGCAACGCACGCGATTAAACGAGGCATAAACAATTCCGAACGCATTCCGCGTTCTTGCAAAAGAACTCTCGCTTATTCGATGCAAAAAAGTATTTAAATCCACGTGCGCAAAAAATTATTAATTAAATCATTTATATTATTATTTATCTATATTATACTTTATATTATTACGTTATATTATTATTTATATTAACACGCACAAGAAAATATTGAATTATTTGATTTTTTCATAGAAAGAGAGAAACAGAAAGAAAACTAATGTAATGAATATTTAGGAACGTGTAATCGCGCAATCACCAATTTAAATGAGCAAACGTTTTATTCATCGATCACTGCGACAATCACGTTTGAGAAAACGTGCTCGATCACGGAATTAGCTGTCGGTTCAACGACACGGGGGATTCAGGCAAGCAGCCAGAAACCTCCCATAAATCTTTTAATTTTTCGTTCAACAAATTAAAAAAAAAAAAAATTTATATCACGGTGCGCACAAATGTGCTCGTAAATCTACGTTGTAAATTTTCATAGTAAACGTCGGATAACGATCACACGAACACACACGCGCGTATTAAACGTCTTCGACGACGCGCACACAGGATGGAATCATATCCACTCGCTCGATTTTACGACTTGCTCGCCGCGCAAAGAAAACTACAATATCTCGGTATCGGTTTTCATTACAGTCTTTTTTTATTTTCATAAACATATATCGGAGCAAAGTGCAGCACGCGGCGAGTTTTCACATTCACTCACTCACCTTCACGAGGGAGGTGACGACCGGGCTGTCGAGCAGGCCCTTCAGGAACAGCAAATCCGTATCGTCAGCGACTTTGCCCAGCTCGTCGATGTTGTCACGCACGTGCATAAACGCGGCTGGAACAGGAACGACGCACTCGGTCATAATCAGCTGCTGGATTCACGGGTCAGAAACGGGGCATCGCGCGGCGTACTACTACGGCGGCGACGGTCGGGACGTAGCTGGAAAAGGGTGGTCAGGGAGAAAACGGGATGCCGACGGGGTCGCAGCGACACCGAAGCCGGGCGTGGCCATCTTTCGGTCTGATCAATATTGGGTCAGCTACAGGTGGCCGACGCGTCACGCGTTAACCTCGAAATTGAGAGTACATACTTCTCTAATTAAGTTTTTATTGAATTTTTTTAAAACGATAAAAAAATTGAATAAAAATAAACTAAAAATAAAAATAAATTTAAAACTGGTATCACCTCAAAAAACATATGAGAGTATAAAATGTCTGAGAGTAGGAAACGTATATCTGCAATTAGCTGCGCGAATAAAACAATAATATTCGGAAATCGAGAAATTGTCTGTTCCAGAAGGGGTTGAACGTAATATGCGAATGTTGTAGCGTGAGTTTGATCTAATTTAAAATAAGCTCAAGGCTCGCAAAGCGCAAAGCTGCTAAATAAGATATTCAACTGAGTTTCAATTAACGTCAACTCCATTTGCGACTTCGCGAAGTGGCGTATGCCTTTTCAAGGCCTCTTAGATATTATTATCACGCTCTACTTAAGTGAAATTGCACCTCTCGTCGGTTTATTGGTGTTAAAATTCTTGTTCCGCACTTGGGACATTAAGAAAATATATTTGTCGAAATGTGTTTTATGTTATCGGAAAAATAATAAGTTGTTTTTGAGAGACTTCGCATTGCGAATCTTATTGATCTATCGCGATGACAAGCTTAAACCCTCGAATGATCGATGAAAAACCACTTGACTATGTAATAATAACCTGTCCAATAACTACGCTCCGCATGAATGATAAATGCATACCATTAAAGCATTAAGGCGTAGATAGAACAGCGAGATGTACAATGTAGAGAACAAACCGATAATAATTCTCGCTCTAATGTATCACCATTTTCTCTCTCGCGCGCGAAACAATACAGATAAATTTTCCCGTGCGACACATATTGCAAAATATTGAAATATAACAATTAGATACGTAAATTAGATACATGTAAATGCGCGAATTGCAAATATAATCTGAAATTAATTTGCGTAACATTTGGTGCAATTTGTTGCGTTTATTCCGGATTTATCTTCTTACGTTGTTATCAATCATATTATACATTCTATAATATATTATTGACAAATTAGTAATATATTAATGTATAATATTATTTTGATGTTATTAATGCGTGCAACATTTGCAGTTGTTGTTGTATCAGTTTTAATAATTATTTCATCGAACGCGATGCCGTGGTCCGTTATTAATTGCGATGCGCTGTATAAATTTTACACGCCAGCAGACAGGAAACGGGTAATGAAACGACAGTTGAAAGTTGTCGACCGAAAGGTGTGTAACCGCGTTATGTGCGTTACGAGCGCAACGTTAAAAAAATGCCGCGGGTAAAGCAAACGCGAGAGAAATTAAAAGTACGCAGCTCAGAGATAATGTTTACGTTCCCGTCCCCAGAATGTTCGCGGAAGCGTGTCTCGCTACATGTCGTATCGGAAAACTCGCGAGTAACAAATTTATTTTTCTTCAATTTTTCAGAAAAAGATAACAGCAATTTTTTTAAAAAGTACCTCTGTTTATTTGTTTGTTTTTTTTTTTTTAAGTTTATTCGCAAAGTGTCTGTGTATTTGCGATCAAACGTTCGCGCGTTAAACAATTAACGAAAGTGTTACCGTTATCGATTTGATGAATAATCGCGCCGTTCACGGTATCCATGCTGGCCAGCAATCGCCGATTTTCCAGCTTCTCTTTCCTTCCGAAGCGGACCATGATAACAAATGGTCAATTTTACAGATTTTGCAAAATCCTGTACGAATAAACTCTTCGTTCGCCACAGAGAACTTTTCACATCGATAAACGTTTAATCACATTTTCGCGCAGTGTTTTTTGTTTTTTACAGTTTTCGTCGCATTTTTTTATAAACACAAAACTCTTTATCACATTGAGATCGAATCGCTTCTCACTTGAGCGTTTTTTTGAGAAATTTCTCTAAATGATCAATCTCTTCTCTTTGAATTTCAGATTCGACAAAATCAATTTTGATTTTAATTACAGTTATTAAATCTGTTTGTGATTGTCACTGTTTTATATGCGATTTAAATCACTTTATCCGGCAACACACAAGGAGAACGTCTCCGTCGTTGCTTTCCTCTCTACTATCTTGCAGTGAATGGAAGTACCGTGTCTTACACACCTGCCTGGGTCCGAAGACCCTGGACCAGACGGGGGGACCGCAAATGGCACCTCGTCAGAATAGTGGGGAGCAACTAGGGTAGACTTGATGACGTTCATTCACACTGTCTTCAGGTGTCACATCTAGAGAATTTGTTCGAAAATTGTCTCGAGCAAGTGTGTTTCCCCGGTGGCTCTTAGGCCTGAACAAATTGTGAAACAAATATTGCAACAGAAGAGAAAGCACGTTGAAAACAAAAACCACAAGAGACGAGCGAGAGATCAGCGGGGGCTCTCAAGAAATCCTAAGCGCCACCGGCCGCCGACTGGTTTAGAGATTCTGACTTTTACGAAGGGTCGCAGACGATCGTGTATCCAGAAACAAACCAGCTGCGATGGAGGGGACGCAGAACAGAACGCAAAAGAAGAGAGGAAAAATCACAGAAACGAGAATTGCCAAAGCACCGATTGTTCAAGGCGTTCGGGACTATTTTGGTCTTTCACGCAAGTTGCTCTTGCTGCTGTTGTCGCTCACAGTAACAATTTTTTCGCTAAGAAATCGTTAATTAAAAGATAATTGCAATTAGAAAGAAAGTATTTTAACAACTATAAGCGTCATATTGCAAAACAGATAGCAGATTGCAGTTTATCTCATCTTGATGCAAAGTAATTACTGAAAAAATTTGACAATTGCATTTTGATAAAATGTACTTTCGAGAAAAAAAATAGCAAGAAACAACAGTGCGGTAATTGTTAAAAGCGAAGAAGAAAAAGATAACAGAAAAACGTTGCAACAATAAAAACTTAATTGATCGCATTTCGATAAATATGTATGTTCTTTGTGGGAAAGATCATCATCTCGTTTAAGTAGCATATTGACAAAAAATAATGAGAAGGAGAAAAAACGCAGAGATAAAATCGAATGAAAGTAAAATTCGACGCGTCGATGATTACCGGAAATGTTTTTGCTCCGAAGAGGCTTCTCCGTTACGAGGCAAGTGGAAGTTGTAAGCAATCAGTTGCTCTCTTTTCTCGTTCAAGGTTGTACGACGAGCGTCATCGATCGCATGAGGTTTCCGTTGTCTAAAGAACACGTGCGTGGCAATCGATTGATTCGCACCGTAGACAAACTTTCGTTAGCCCTCGCCGGTGCCAACAAACTCAGGAAATTCGACAGGAAGTATTTCACGCGGTCAGGTGATTTAAATATTACGCCATTTCACACAAGTGGTGTTTTTTTATTGCTTTTCGTGTTCACTGATATTCAAAAATATATCTTATAAAAATACTTAAAACATTGAAAATTGTAATACAAAAACAAATCAAAGAGCTTATGGTCCAGGTTGAAGGTGGACGTTTAGATGCAATATAAAACGCAGTGTCGGACGTTTCGATCACTCTTTATTGTTGATCATCTTCAGCACTGTTTACATAATAATAATATGAAATATAATAATGTGAATATGGCAGTTGGAGTTTCTCCAACTGCCATATTCACATTATTATATTTTAAAATATTTGGAGCTATTCTTCTTTACAATAAATATGAAAATTATAACATTATAAAATTTTATAAAATTATAAAATTTTTTCATCTTTAACACCTGGACCATAGGCTCTTTGGTTTTTTTTTTGTATTATAATTTGTTTCATCGAGCCGTTATTAATATTAATTATTGAAAATTGTTTAATGTTTGTAGCGGAGAACGGGGTAATGACATTCACTTAAGAAAATTTATTAATATCTTTACGTTAAATTGATTTTATCCTTTTTGTAGTTACTTATATACGTATAATACTGTTAATTTAGATAAATTTTCTATGAAATTTTATATAAAACATTAGACACAAAAAATAATATATGTTATTCTTTAGCATTCTTGTAATTGAGGTGATCGGTCCGACCCGCTGAGCGCCGTGACCTCGTTCTCCCCTATATGTAATAATTATTTCTTTAATAAATGTCCGTCCATTGGTACATGTCCGGTCATTGAGACAGTTACGTTAAAATAGAAATATTTACAACCGGAATTCGCTGAAGTGTTCGCGCAAATGTAATGTGTGTTCAAACAATTATTCAATTTTTCTCTGGTTTCTCAATGAGAAATAATTTTCCTTCAAATGCATATATTACGCAAACTAACGACATCGATAACTCGAAGAGAGTTAACTCAACACGCTCGGGACGTAAAAGAAAACAGGAAAATAAGTTTCTTACCCGAGGTAGAATTTAACTCCTTCTTCTGAATGATCGACGACAGAGCGGAGCATCCGCAGACGTCATCGATGACGTCCACCTTTGATTTGCTCTTCCTCATCTCGACTGACTATCCGAAGTGAATCTGGGCGACATCGCGTCTGCCTCGGTGAATCAGTCGAGTCTTTCGCGTCGTAGCCGGTCGTTACCGGACGGTTCCTCGTCGATTCTTTGATCACATCTGAAGGTCGTCATTCCGCGTCGGAAATTACACGTGCTATGTGTTGCGTTGACTCGACGTGAATCGACGATTTCCGTTCGACCGATAATCGCGGACCGACGCGCTCCGCGATGGGAAATGAACGACGTTCCGACGGATAGATCAGGATCTATTCATAGATCGAAACCGCTTCGGCGCCACGTTTTTCCGCGAGCGTGAAAACAAGATATGCGGGGGCCGCGAGCAGGGCGTTCATAAGCCGCGCGAACCGACCGCGACCGGTACTTATAGTCGTCGGCCCGCAAGGGGGTGGTCTTCGTACCCCCTTTTCTATCACTCTTTCCTTCTCTCTTCCTCACCCTGGCTGATTTTCTCGACCAGTCGTGGCTACGCGACTGGTACGTATTATAACCCCTCGATCGATAGCAAACGCGCCCACGAAGGGTCAACAATATTCTTCGCGGAGTTGTGCGCGAAGGAGAACTGACGCAATGTTGTCACGGAAGTTGGAAATAACACTTCCGTGTCTGTCACGTAGCTGTCGTCCCGAATTTTAGACAAATTTTATTTTTCTTTGTTTTCTCTACGCTTCGGGATATGGATACAACATTCTATTTTTGAAATCAACATCTTCTATTTGTTTCACTTTGTGTTATATTTTTAAGCAAACTATTGAAAACGTTTTTAAACCTGACCTGTGCATAAAGAAAAGAATTTTTATTTTTAATGTTTAAGTGTCACAGAAAAGTTAAAAAATACATACAAAAACTCTTTTTATATTTATATTGATTTATATGGAGCGTTTCACATTATTTTATCAATATCGTGACCGCGCATAAATGTGTAAAGCAAACAAAAAAAACACATATTTTTCCTTGAATTTTTTATTTTAAACTTGTAGAGTTTAAGAGTCATCTACTGGCAAGTAATGAGAACCAAATGCGATCTCGAGGCTCTATAGAATACGTAGGATACATTTATATTAAAGCAAACGCGAGGCCTTTAACGGTAGGTAACTCAAGCAGCGGCGTTTCAGTACTTCGTGCCATTAGGAGAAGATGGCGACTAGCGTCAATGCAGCAGCTCCTTGCAATTGAAATTATCTATAATTATTTACTTGAACACAATTTTTATTTATATCTCTTTTATCGTGATGTAAGTGCAAATTGGTTTTTAGAAAAGGAATATATTTAATTATTTAATATAAAAATTATATATACATATATTAAATATTAATATTATTTTTTAGAAAAAAAATTGCATATATATTTAATTTTATTCAAACACAAATGTACAATTGCATTGTTCTACATTGTTCTACATTTCAAATAAGCAACTTTGAGGAATTTCATTATCAAATAAAAAAGTAATAGTCTGTATTTCCCCGCAGCGTTAAAAAGTAAGTCAATAAGATGAGGAAATGCAAATTTAGATGTCGACGAAGAGGTCAAACTTTTCTGGAAGTGTGCGCAGCTATTGCAGCTATTGACGAATATAACGCCGATCAAAATATGAGAAATAAACTGCGATCGCTTTCTGGCATTTATCAGTTCGGATTTTCTCTTTACTTCCTCTTTACATTAACTTAAATTAAGATTTTATCATACCAATGAAAAAAATATAATTTCTTTTATCATCTAAGTTTTTTTACTCTTTCAAAGTTTCATTTCCAAGGAATTCAATTGCAAAGTTATATTTCTATAATTCTCTAGGAAGAGAAGAAGAGAGTATCTTTTTTATCCTTAGTAGCTTATTATTTCACTTCTCGTACGCCCTATGACGTATGCAATTTTCCAAATATTTTCGTCATTTTATTGTCGGTAATACGACGATATAGGCGACCTTTCAATCAAATCAGATTGGCTGATTACTACGAAGTGGAGATTTATGAATTACGTGCGAAACAACTAGGACGAAGATGGAGAGGGTTATGACAATGATGATGACAGTAATTCTTCCTCTCGCGAAGTGTGTCACGAGCAACACTGTGAGATGATGTTCTGTGACACGTGAGAAAGGTTGGGTGCTTCTTTTTCTCCATGATTACGGCATTGACCCGTTGAATTCCGTACGATGGTGATCGCGTTTTTTGAAGTGATTCATATCAAGTAAAGCGAAAGGAAATATTTTCGGCACATTGAGTGTGTTACATAAAATTGTATATAAAAAATAACTAACGAAGATAAAGAACACAGTGATGGTGAAAAGATTATTCATCGTGAAGAAGCGGAGATGCGCAAAATGGTGAAAGTCCACTAATGATTTCTAAATAAATATGATTTGTGACAAAAAAAACGCAAGTTGCAAAAACGCTACAACAGTGGTTTCGGCTGTGATTTTTATGTCGGTATTATTATATTTTGAAGTCAAACACGTAAACTTTTTTTTCGCTGATAGCGATTTATACTATAACAATACACGACACACATGATTTTTCGTATCGATTTTATGTTACAAGAAAAATCAAGTTAAATCAATTTTTTTTATGCATACTATCAATATGCACGTACAATATTTCTAAATGACATTTTGTGATAAGTAAAAATCGTTAAAATTTTGCTTTGCTTTTACCACGTCGATTTACAGCAGATTTTATATTTGCGAAGACACGGAGAATTATATTTTCAATACATTACGCGCAAAAACATTTTACGTTAATTAAATTATGCTAAAGCGAATAAATAATTTAGTTAATGATTAACACACATACACACACAATTTATAATTGCTATAACGTGATAATTTATTCAACAAGTTTGCATGAATTTAAATTCCTTCGATGTTGTTAGTTAAACAGTATTGTTTTATCAAATCAATCAATTTTTAATATATTTTAAGAAAACGCGCGCGCGTACTTTGTATACGTGTGTGTGTGATTAAATAACACATGTATTTCTTATCTGACTAGAGTACATAAACACCGACTATTGTCGTTTATCGCTCATGTGTTAAATAACGTCCTTGATAACGGTAATACGCGGGATTTAATGCTACACGTCGCATCGTCGCGTTTTTTCCAACTTTGATTTTCTGTCACGACTTCTACCATTTTACGGTGTGATTGTTGTTGCAATGTTACGTCCATCAAATCGTGACGTTTCAGGAAAAGAGGTACGTAATAATCGTCGTAATAACACATGTTTATCACATGTATAATAAACGCCCAGAACTTTATCAAAAGTCAGCTGACGTTATCAAATAGCGTCAGTCTAGTCTTCTATGTAAACCCGCACGTTATATGTATATATATTTTTTTATGTGCACTGTGTTCAGCGCAAGTTAAAACTTGTATAATATTATATTATATTGTATATATATTATATTATTTATATATATATTATATTATATATATATAATATAATATAATATACTATCTACTAATTATATTATTTATATATATATTATACTATATATATATAATATAATATAATATACGCATATATAAATTTTGATAATCAATAATTGTTTAGTTTATTAACGAAACAAATATTTATGTAATTTTTGTTTTGCAATGATATATCTCTTTAACAATTTGCATATTTTGTTTTAATTTTTATCTTTGAAATTGTAATTATGAGAGATAACAAATTTAATAAGCCGAACTGGGGCTTCTTACGTAAACGAGAAAAAGAAAAAGAAATATGAATGCTTTAATAAGAGGATTGTCTTGATTTCTTGTGAGACGGGGATCTTGACAAGCATCGGCAGATAGTAGAATGCATTAATATAAGTCAGAGAGAGAGAGAGAGAGAGAGAGAAAGAGATAGAAGTACAACGTACACACGAGGAAAACACGCGCTCACTCATGGATATGCCCCTGATTTGTCGAAAGAAGTGGGAGCACCTGCTGCGAACACATCGAGAGAGCGCGCGAAATATTAGTCTCCGTCGAACTCGCGAGATCGTCCGCCGTCGCACCAGCAGGTTTTTCACTCGCCATTCGGAGTTCATGATTCACAAATCGGCAGATGATCGTCATGGCGAGACATACGGTACGTTGTTCCAGCGAACACGCGGAACGTATTTTTGTGTGACTCTGACACACAAAATAGAGTTTTGCCGCGATGCTGTGATTGATACAATGAATTTTTGACAAACCTTGTACAAATAAATTGCTGTACATATAAAGTTTGATACAGCTGTGCGCTTGTGTAACGTTTCTATGGAGTTAAAAAAAAAAAAAACCTGACGGTATCTTGCTTTTAGCATCCCACGTGTACACTTAAGAGGAGCAACCGCCAAAATAAGTATCGACCTATCGAGACTCTCGATCTTCTCGGTTTCGCGAGCGAGGGGGGCAGCTTTTATCTCCGACTTACTTCTGTTTCGATTTCACTCTTGGGACGAGCGCAACGTCTGGACACATTGAATCGATAAGTTCGTGAAGAGCACTTTTCGTCAGATGTGCACGACCGTTGGAAAAGTTGCGAGAGTTTGAACTGTCTCAATTTATCGCGTTTCCGCTTCGTTATTTCTTTTTTTTTCTCTTCGCGTCGCAGAAAAGACAAAGATGACGGGACAATGCGTCTGAAGTATTAATCCATCATGGCGTGTGATATATTCTATTTTTAATCAATCTTCCCGTTATCGGTTATCAATCTTACATTTGCCAGAGATCCTCAAATATTGTGTCACAGGCAGGAATCGTAATCTTGATTAAATGAATTTATCTTCTTCGCTCGAGTTGTTAATACTAGCGATAAGATTGTAATTCATTTATCGAAAAAAAACAACAACAAAGAAACGCAATTTGTTCGTGTTAACATTACGTTTTCTGATTACGTGATATTCCAAATTCTTTCAGATTCTACGACTTTTGACGCTGTGCGGTTGCGCGATCGTTCTCGGACAATCACGGTCTGGTAAAAATCGATCTCTAGTTAATTTCAATTCTCATTAATATTCATTAACGCAAATTTTAATATAAATATGCAAATGCGTTATTATATTAATAATAATGCTAATATGTATGTTTGTGAATAAATTTTAATCATGTATTTATACACATTTCTCGTGTTAATTCTTCCTGCTCACAGTTTCAAGTATCAACGACAATAGTACCGTCAATGATGAAATCAAAAAGGATCCGTTTACTTTGGAAGACATTTATCGTCGCGCCTTTTACGCTTACGGCTTCAACGGCACGTGGATCTCGGATCACGAAATTATGGTCGCGAGTTTTCTCACAAGCAGTGTCACTGTTTATAATGTAAAAACGGGAAAGACCACATTGTTGTTTGACGGAACAGGTTTGCCAGTAAGAATTTCAATCACGACAAGTTTTAATAACTTCGAGATCTTGATCTAAACGATGATCTATTTTGTTATCAAAGTTTATTCCGATTGAATTGTTATTTTCAACATATCTTGATGTTACAATTATTTTAGGGTTTTATGTTATCCACAGTATTCTTCTCGGCCGACAAACGATATATTTGCTTCGGTTTAGATAGTAAACAAGTGAGTGTATCGTTTAATTTTTGTTAACTAGTTGCCGTGAAAAAAAAAAAAAAAACTCATTTGCATTAACACTAATTTGAATAGGTATTCAGACACTCGACTCTCGCACGTTACACAGTGTATGACACGAAGAGCCGGCAAGTATATTTACATTTTTACGATACACTTGTTACGAATGTTGATGCATTATCGACAATTTTTGTTCTTACAAAAAGAACAAAAGTTCTTACTGTGAGAAAAGAATTTCTTATTCTTATTCCTCAGCGTTTTTACAAAAATCGCGAAATCAGCGCCTATTTCGCTGGCGCTGTGGTCTCCGACCGGTAACGACTTGGTTTACGTTCATAACCGTGATATTTATCACATAAAGTTTAATGACGATCAGAATGTGCTGCGAAGAGTGACGACGAGCGGCGAATCCAAAGACATTTACAATGGAATTCCGGACTGGGTGTACGAAGGTAAAATCAAGAAAACTTTCGTATAGAAGTGTGTGTTACACACGCGTCAAACAACGCGAATAAAATAAAATATTTTGCGCAAATGGCAAACATTTCGCCCGAGACGATGTGCACGCGTTTCTGAAAATTTGTATTCGCGTCAGTTAATTACGTGAACAGATGTAATCGCGAGAAACAACGCTGATTACAGAGGAAGTACTCTCGTCCGCGACCGCGATGTGGTATTCGCCGGATGGACGACATCTAGCTTTTGCGACCTTCAACGATACCGTGGTAAAGGACATAACTTACTTCCATTATGGCGAGCCTGGTTCTCTTAACGACCAGTATCCCACGTCGGTGAAGATCAAGTATCCCAAGGTGAAAATCTCCGAAGTGTCGCTAAACATAAGAATTTGCAACAAAAAATAGAGTAAACGTGTATATAAAATATTTTATTTAATCCGCTATAATTTTCTTACAATTATTTTACGTATTGATAAATAATGCACGCTGTTTTTCATATTATTTTGTTTTTTATCTGCAGGTGGGCACATCGAATCCAATAGCAACCGTATCGATAATCGATTTAACCGATCCGTCGTCAAAACCAATTGTTTTGGCCGCTCCCGTTGACGCGATTGGCAGGCAAGTCAACAAGTTTTTTATTGTATATTGTTAGCGATATTTGCTATTTATTATTTATATTTGTTATTGCTAAGTTAGCTTTGTTTTATTTTCGATCGCGTGCTTGATTTTTCTGCTTTCGCAGTGACAATGTTTTATTTACCGTGAACTGGTGGAACGCGACGCGTGTACTCGTGACGTGGGCGAACCGCGTGCAGACTAAATCCCAGTTGATCATGTACGATACGCAGGGTGCTGGTAATCCGATCTTGAAGGACGAAGAAACGGAGGGCTGGTTACAACCGAATCGTCCTGTAATAGCCGGAGGCGGTTACGCGTTGCTATTACGGCGCGTGGATTCCGGCTCCAGCGCCGGTAGATTCCGACATATAATCAGGTGAAGAAGCAAACGTTTATTTCTTTTTACAAACGTTTTATTTATTTTTATTTTTTTTTTATTTTTTTTATCCCATCTCGACATCGCATAGATACGAATATAATAACAACGAGTTCGTTTCGCCGGTGGATCTGACGCCCGATCCCTCCGAGGTGCACATCGTAGTGGCCGTCGATTCGTTGAGAAACAGAGTTTACTATCTCGCCACGGCACCGGGCAAACCGGGCCAGAGAAATTTGTATTCCGTGCCTCTGGACGCGAGCCAGAAGCCGACTTGCATATCCTGCGAGATGCTTACGCCGGAAGGTGAGTCCTCGAGAATTCACGAACATCGAACATAAGAAATGCAAGAGAGCGAGAGAGAGAGAGAGAGAGAGAGAGAAAAGAATGCGCTCAGCATTTTTCATCGGTTCTAGATGACGAGCTTTATATCGTGCACGAACGCTCTAATTTTATCTCGCCGCGAAATATTCGGAATCGGAACGTTCTACTTAAAGCACGGCGTCCCTCCGAGGGAATAGTAGACTCTCGAAAATTTACGAAAACTTCGTAGTTCCTAAAATGTTCGATCGTTAGAAATTCGTGTTTGATTACTCGAAATGAGTTTGGGGGAAAACGGGGAAGCGTTTAAAATCCCGTAGGTGGCGGGGAAATTATGGAAACCCGCCGCTGACGACGTTCGCAAGCCTGTCCAGGTGATAGGTACACGTTCCAATTAGAACGAGAAAGTCCATCGGGAATAGTTGCATCTGAAAGCTGCAGGTCGCGTTCATGAATATTTAGCACGCGCGTGCACTTTGCGCGAGGTGGTCGGTATATATGGACGCGCAAGGATTCGCGCGCGCGAAACTTGGAGATTACGCGACTGGCGTTGACGTAATCTACGGGGACATTTCATTTCCCGTTGAAAATCGCCGCAATTTTCTTGGTCCATATTTTTGCGGCGCACCCGTGCCAGAAATGCGCCGATGTGAATTCAAATAAGAATTTTCAAATTTTTCCCTCGCGAACTTGGCACGAACTTATCTCCTCATCGGCGATGCCGAGGGGACTCGAAAGGTTCGACTTAATGCGCAACGTCGTGGCACAAAGAACCGACGACTGAAATATTACTTTTCGCGCGAGTTTTTCCAGCTACTGTAACCCAACGGCAGCTGCGCTCTCAGAATCGAGCGCTATCGCGAAGAAGATTAATTCGCCGGACTGTTTTGCGCGTCAAAAAAAATCTACGAGAAGATCTTGATAAGCTCGATGCCGGTCGATGTGCCGCTGCCGGCGGGCGCACCTTTATATCCTTTAAAATATGATGTCTGCGGAATTTACTCCGACTACTGAAAAGTAGAGAGTACAGAAATTTATGCTTCCCGTATTCCTTCGACGGAGTGTGTGCCGCGGTTATAGCGGGCAGAATTTTACGTTACATCTCGATATTGCGCATATGTCCCAAAAAAAAAAAAAAAACGATACCGGAAATTGCAAAACATCAAAGAGAATTAAAGTGGCACGAGAAGTCAGCACTATGAAGATTGCATGTACGCGAACAAATTGGGACGATTTTTATATTAAGAAAAACACATTTGTGAACATTGCAGGAAATAAATGCACCTACGCAAGCGCAGTTTTTTCAAAGTTCCGATCGTATTACACTCTTTCGTGTTTCGGACCGGATCCAACGACGGTGACAATTTACGATTCAAATCATCAGTCAATCTTGACTTGGAGAAATAACGCGGCATTAAGAAAATCGTTGTCGGGACGATTGATGCCGCAACAAAGAGACTTCAACGTCACCGTGAACGGTTATGATTGCACGGTCAGATTAATGCTGCCCCACGATTTCGACGAAAGTAAATCATATCCCATGTTATTGTATGTGTAAGTAAAAATTTTTAAATATTGGAAAAAGATTTTTTTCATTGTTTTATTAACAAAAATGTAAAAAAATATATATTTTAGCAGAGAAATTAGCAGTTTTTTTTGCAAAACACATATATTTTCGCAAAAATATACATTTATTATTTAGCATATATTAATATGATGTCTGTTTTAAATATACAAATATTTTTACAATGTCATATTTTTAAAACCTCTTAACACACCGGTGTTGACCGATTATCTCGTGTTTTCACGCACAAACATTGACCGATTACTCGTGTTTGCATCAGATTACGCAATTATTAAAGCTCGAAATGCAGGAATTGTATAAAAAATAATATTTTATATGAGATTTGGAATAAAGCAAGTCTGTAATAATTCTAAGGTTTGTGCACAAATTACAAAGTGCATAAAATTGCCGGTCAACAATGTTGCATAATATAAAACAACAACCTTGAGACGAGTAGTATCTTCTTACAATTAATGAATTTGATTGAAGTTGACATTATTGTTTATATATACACGTGCTTTCCTGTTGTTTTAATCTTCTCAGTGAAAGTGTTTGTCGTACATTATTTCCAGCAGCTACAATGTGCAATTGCACAAGCATATGCGCTATGTGATTGATCGAAATGGCAGAGAAAGTCGCGATTTCCATTTAAAATTAGAGTCACTGTTGATCGAGTTTGTTTGTTCGGCCGACTCGTGTCGAGGCTCTCATAACGATCGATTACCTTTAATGACTCTTGCTCAATTTTCTCTTCTTTTTTAAAAAGCATCTCTACATATCAACATATTGAGCGTTTTATCTACTCAGAAATTCATGCTGTCAATACGTAAAATTCAATAAAACAGACTACAATGTGAATATCGAGAAGAGTTAAAAACAAATGTTATATTTTATAATACATATTTTTATTTCATGCTCAAAATAGATTTTTTACATTTTACAATGTATTTCTTTTGCTTCGCGCGCGATTAAAGATTTCTCAAAATGTTCATCTTCACGCAGTTACGCCGGTCCAAACACGGTGAGAATCACTGAAGCCGTCAGATACGATCTAGAATATTATATGACAACCAACAAACGCGTGATCTACGCGTGGATCGATGGACGTGGATCTGCCTTTAAAGGCAGCAAGATGCTCTTTGAAATTTATAGAAAGATGGGAACCGTGGAAATTGAAGACACGATTGCCGTTACCGCGTAAGTAATAAACGTTAGAGAGTTGCTTCAATTATTTCAGTTTTAATTTGAAATAATTTTCTCACTAGAAAGTTAGAAAATATTTTCTTTTGTTTAATTTTACTTAGGGAAAGACATTAAGTAGAATTAATATTTTTCTCGCCGTTTCTTCAGAGCTCTGCAGAAACAGTACAAGTGGATTGACGCAAATAGAACGGGCATATGGGGATGGAGTTACGGTGGTTTTACTACTGCCATGACGCTCGCGACTGATGCAGCTTCCGTGTTTAAGTGCGGTATATCTGTGGCGCCCGTAACTTCCTGGATCTATTACGGTAATTAAAAACAGATCTATCAAATGCGCACATACTAAAGGTTTAAAATATACAAGAGAGAGAGAGAGAGAGAGAAAAATATTGATCTTGAGAAATTTATTTTTACAGAATAAGTCAAATATTATTTTTAAAGAGATGTTTCTTCACAGACTTATTTTAATTGCTAAATAGGTTTTATATATTTTTTTTTACAGTGTTTTGTGCACCTAGTGTATTTTTCTTTACACCAGGACTTGTTTTACGGCAGAATTTATTTTAGTGAGACATTTCGTAAGAAATATATTGATTAATCCTGACGTGTTTTGAAATTTCGCAAAATTGTCCAATTTCGTCACGACGTTTCTCCTAATTTGGACGGAAATCAAACGCACGTGTCGGCACGTATCCCTTTTCAGAATTATCACTGCCATTTGTTACAGACTCCATTTACACGGAACGATTCATGGGGCTGCCGACTTACGAGGACAATCTTGCTGGTTACGACCGCACGGACATCTCGCGACGGGCGGGTGGGATACGTGGCAAAAAGTTCATGCTGATACACGGCACCGCGGACGACAACGTGCACTACCAGCAAGCTATGGCGCTTGCCAAGTCGCTCGAGTATGATGACATCCTGTTCGAACAGGTCACATACACGGACGAGACGCACGATCTCAGACACGTATACGCTCACCTGTATCACACAATGGACAAATTTTGGGGCGAATGCTTCGCCTTAGACCGTTGACTCGAATTCTTTATAGCGAAAGAGAATATTGTTTTTTTGCGACAAATTTTCGGTCGCATTAAGCATTCGATTTTTTCGACACGAGGAAAATACGCGGGAAATAAAAATGATCGGGAAATTAACGCGGAATTTATTCGAGCAATTTTGCAATAACAAAAATGGTATACAAATGAAATTGGTTTTTGAAAATTTCACCTCAATATAATTGGATACAGACGTGTGTGTTTAAAATAATATATTTTTAAGCTAATCTCACGCCCGGTGCGCGCCCGTTAATCCCGCTAATGAATTTCCACCAAAGACATTTCTCCAAATTCGAATAATATGCGGAAGTTTCTGTTGATTTAGTGTTACAATACATTACAAACTGCAATTAATTTAGTGACTCTTATCGACTCGCTGTCATTAATAAAGTAATAATCCACGAAATTTGTATCCTGCGAAGTTATAATCCAAATGGAATATAAGCTTCGTTCGTGCCATAAATCCAATATATATTTCACGCGAGTTTGTCAGTGTGACAGATAGAAAACACACAAAATATATGACTAAAATAGAAAATAAAAATACATAACAAACTGTACGTAAAAATAATATAAAAACTTTCTTTCGAAGTTTTATCTTGTCATATATTTTGAGACGTGTTTTTTTATTTTTTTTTTGCATACAAAAACTAGAAATTAAAAATTTGTCCTCTTGTGAAAAACAAAATATATTTTATTTTCCAGTTGTTTCTTCTATTGATTACAATTTGTCTTTGTCGTTCGACCGTGCCTAACTCCGAGTAAGTCCGAACATAAAAGAAGTGCAGAAAAATTTTTAATCATATCGTTTGTCGTATCAGAGCGTGTCTTGTGCGCCGAAGATGGACGAATTTTCTCGAGGCAACTTGGCTCGCTGACCTGGAATCTTCGGCAGTCGGGGAGAAAAATGTTTGCTCAAACATTCGAGCAAGTTTCCAGAGAGAGAGAGAGAGAGTTCATGACTCTTTTCGGTCAGTGGAGATCAAGAAAACCCGCAAATATTCAATCGAATAGTCATCAATTTTGAATTGTCACTTTCGATATTAGACACGATCAGTTCGCGTTCTCTTTTAATTTTACGTATCTCACAAATTACACGGAAAAAAAAATATTTGCTAGAATAGCTAGAAGATAAGTTTACTGTATGGCCAGCAAGAAAAATTTGCTGAGTCTATTGAATTGTGCCAAACATTTTTTGTTTCATTAACATGTTTGTTTTGTTAATGAAACAAACAATTCGGTAAATTCAGCAAATTATAATAGCGAAACTTTTTCGCTCGTGTATATAACATTAAACTATCAAGAATACGCGAAGCAAGTTGGAAAAAGAAGCTCTCAGCGATAAAAGTGACACTAATTAGCATCAAGATATTCGAGAGAACTTCGATACATTTGTGTATCGATTTTACGTGCTTTTTTTCTTTTTAAAAGAAAATATATATATATATCTTCGCTTTGAACTAATGAGAGAGAAATAAAAAACGCAATAGATATATTGTATATTCATCGGCGGTATATAAGCTCAACTAAATAAGATAAAATAGAGGATGAAAGACCGATCTGGCACTATAGAATTTCTCATGAAAGTTGATTCCGTGCTGGTGGGCTTTCCTTTAAGTTTGAATGGGAAGAAGAAGAGGAAACTGCCGCACGGTTCGCAACTACCTCACACTCTCGGGTAGGACGTAAACAAAAGGAAAGGCAGCCTATTTTCCGCGCGCCGGAGGAGAAATCTGCTGCGGAGGACTCGGGATCGCGGAGGGATGTCTGCGCTGGCCATTGTCGGCCGTGTTATTCCATGTGGAACAAAAACAATGCTGTGCGCGCCGCAATCGATCCGCCCGCGCTTTTCATCGTTCGTAAATGCTATCGGCGACGCGGATAACGATCTTTGACTACGGTACGAATGGAAACCGCGAGCATACTCGCCAAACTAATGAGATGCAACCCTTCTACTAGTGGCGAAAGTTTCTGAAGGAACAAGCGAACCGTGAAAACGCGCAGTCGAAAAGTAAGTTTCGTTAAAAGCGGCCAGAAACGAAGCAATGATCTAATTTGCTTTCGAGGCAATTGTATTTTAGATTATTTGATACATTTGAAACGAGTCGTTTCGTTATTTACTTAACCGTTTCATTTGGAATAAAAGTGAAACGAGATAAAAATTGCAAATGTGTTTGCTCTTTAGAATTTTTTGTGGAAAGTGAATAAAAAAAATCCGAATCGTCGAGAGGTTTTCGCAGTGGTTTGACTGCATTAAACTTCAAGTGGAAATAGAATCAGTTCAATAAAATTTTAAACTCTTCTGTAAATTTTAACTTTTTAAATTTAACAATTTTTTCAATCTGTTATTTTTACATAACGAAAAATACAAGTTTAAATTTTTTTTCTCGCATAAAGATTGTTCGAAAATTATTTTTAAATACGGTCGGGATTGAGATCGGGACTAGTACGCGCTCTGTAATGAGTCGATTTTACACACGAGTACGTTCACAGGTTAAGCAAATCCACTTGCACGGGTTCTCGTTGACATTATGAACAAGATCCCGCGATCTATCATCCGAATGGTATCTATAGAAAGTGAGAAACTATGGCGGATTCGGATGGTAGGACAATCGAATGGCACGTTAAGCTCGTTCGATCTTCGAGAACTTCTATTGCCATGAAAGCGTTGCGTTAGCGCGCACTTTCGAATAAATGTCACCTTCGCGAGATATGTTCGGCGAGAGAGTAGATCGAAAGAAAAAAAAAAGGAAAGAAATCCGCTTCTTCATATTCGTCGTACATTTTTTTTCTTAGGTTATCTTTTGCTGAATTAAATTTATTCTACTGCACACTGCGCCTATATCACTTCGATCTCTTGCAATATGCAAAACATTATAATTTTTTAAGATAAATAAATACTAAATGAAAATAGAACGTGTGGGAAAAAAACATCTCGCGCAGTTTCAGGACATTTTATATGTAAGCTCGCGCGCGTCAGTAAATTTTGCAAAACAAACACACAGAGCGAAAGTGTCAAAGCCGTTTCGTAGAACGAAACAGCGTGTGGTCTATTTTTTTTTTTTATTTGTTTTTTTTATAACAATATGCGGCCGTTTCAATTAAAGTTGCTTTGGAAACTTATATAGAATGTTTCGAAATTGCACGTGATACTCTCGTGTTTTTTCCCACATTCTATTTTCGCTTATTATTTTGTTGAAAAAAAAAGAAAAGAAGTACAGGATTTTGGCATAAGAAAAAAAGCAAGACGTGTATAGAAAAATCAATACGAAAGAAACTTTTGGAAATAAAAGAATCCGGTATTCTATTACATAAATATTTAGTTTCAAAGTATCGCGAAATCAACACCTGGCCTCATTTTCGTCGCAACTTCTCTGAAACTTGCACTCGAGACAACAACTTTAAATTCTCGCGCAGAAATTCTTACCACGTCAATCGCCGTCTATAATCCACCCGCGGCTGTCGCTCGCGAAAATGTCATCGGGGGGAGGAAGTTTTCTCTCGACAACAACAGTAAGTACCCATGTTACGTCCACGCGCATCCCGCGTTCTCCTTCAAATTTGCCGCAGATCGAAACTGCATTTCGATCGATCCCGCGAGACGAATTTTCGACGCGGTCTCTCGAAAGCTCGTTATTGCCCTTTGTCGAGACCCGACGTCATTCCTCGAATTGATCGCGTAGGACGGGAGTTCGGCCCTATCTCGCGACGGAAGAGCGTCATCGAAAGTGGGCTACGTCGTTTCTGTGATTGCGGCGAATACAAAATCGAGATGGGAATTGCGAAATTTTATTTCGTTGGGAATATGGCAAAAGGTCTGTGTCGTCGCGTTGGAGCGAAAAATCTACAAAAACTGTCAAATGTAAATGTGTGTGTGTGTGCACGAGAGAACAGTATACAATTATATAACAAATAAATCGAGAAATCGCGACTAATATCTTGTTTCCTTTATATAGTATCCGATTTCAATTGTCTTGCGTGCACATAACCTCGCGTTGTTATTGAATGCACCTGCTAACGACCCTGGAAGAAAACATGGCGGAGAGTTTAACTTAATGGCATACTCTTATCCGGCGATCAAACATGTCTCTTCGCAAGAATTAGCGAAGGTCTTGTCCTTACGACCGCGCGTGAAAGGTTTCCCGGGCGATTAATCTCTCACCTGCCGGCCTTGGCCTCCGAAACGGAAAGGTTTTTGGAGTCAAGGACGCGCATGCAACGTTTCTCGTTCTGCCAATCGATATCCCTTGAATAAAGTTAGACCGCCGCGCGGTGTGGCTTTTCATTTTGCGTGACTGCGAAACGGGAGGTGTGCCGATTGTATTCGAGTCGGCCGTGAAATCTCAGCTAGGCACAGCGACATGCCCCTCGCGCCGCATAAGTTCTGGATGCCAGGCGGCAAGGATATACCGCTTACTTAGGGAATATGTCCGAGGCATGCACCGCTATTTTCGTCGTCTCCCATTGTACGGCGTAATAACGTTTTCGCGTGCGAGATTTCCACGAATAGAAAGTCAAGCGCAAATCTATTATTTGCCACCGGTTTTGATATTTCGTCAGAAATAGTCGATAAAACATTAGCGCGGTTAACGTACGCGGGATTACGTAGATTAGGAAAAAAAAAAAAAAAGAAAAAAAGAACAAAACTTACACTTCGCGCGCGACACTTTACGATGTGTGCGATACACGATCCCGAGTTTATCCTTGATGCAAATGCGAATTTATGATACGAACGAACGGGCGACGTTTATTGTGCATCGCCGCGGCGCGCATCCTTGGTGCGTAAAACAGCAAGACGAACGCGACGGAAATCACGCGAGTTATTTTACGACAACACGCGGCCTTGCATAAGGAATTCTCCTTCGTCCTTTGCACTTTTGCGAGCGCGCGAGGATCTACCGAAACGATCGTTCCTCCGTTACATTTCTCGCAAGGAGCTGCAAGCGCGATGTGGATCCAGGCGTTGGAAAAGCGAAGGGAAAGAAAGGATTTGGCGTTAAGAATTCTTGGATGGCATCGCGAGAGAAATATTTCGAAGGGAATATTTGTTCTCGCCGGGAGCAAGAGAGGAGTGTATTTTAAGGACCCTTGCGAAACTTACTTCCGTCTACGTAAATTGCAGCGATATAAAGACGTGGAGAGAACGCGCGCGATTTCATTTTCTCTTATCCGCGGACAACGACGTCCGCGCCGTTCAACGAAAGGAAAAGATAAGAGAAGAAACGAAGAGAAAGAGAGAGAGAGAGAGACGCAGAAAGAGAATCGCGCGGGTTGGAACAGGATAGCGAGATAAATCTTGCAGGAGTCGATTCATCTGAGATGACGATGAATAAATGTCGAGACTAAATCAGAATCCGGAAATATAAGAAAAAATTTTCTGCAAAATCACCCCGAGGAGAAACGATGAATAACGATTCTTTTTCATAAGATTAAAGCGTTAAATGTTAAACACTTTAATTAACCGATCTCGTGCGAGAGAGCTCTGCGCTCCGTTTTTTCTTCGAGCGAGATAACAGCCGTGGGGGAGAGAATCTAGCGTGCGATTCGTAGATTCGCGCGAAACGATATTAAATATCTGACGTTTGACGGTCAGCTACCGTTTAATTAATTTCGCACGTAGTTCAAATATGCGCGCGAAAATATGTTCCCCCATACGTTACCGTTGTGACACTAATTATGTGTACTTAACGTTGCGGAGTTCTTCGCGACAGTTCTAATTACAGAGCGGTATTGCGCTTTTAACATAATTACTTCGCATAAATGTGACGACCGACAATTATTATGATGTAAATGTATAATGACAAAATTATATTATACATTTATTAAAATGACATATAAAAAGCGATCTTATAAAATATATTTTGAGACATATTCGATCTCCCTTGCGTTTATTTCTTTTGATATATTCTGTGTACGATTTATTTGGATATTTATCATATCCATCTATGATCGGTGTGCTCTTTTCAAAAATGCAAAAACGCGATGCTTGCGCTTCACTCGAGCGTCGGGCATGTGTCGCAAAATGTTCGAACTCAGCTTCTCGCCGGAGTGTAGCAAATAGATGCCGTCCTTCGATACTGCGGGGTTGACTTTTACGGTAAAACGCGCGACGGGGATGTAAAGACGCGGAGGCGCTGTTGGAAGAAAAGACGGAAATGTGAATTAGACAAAACAAAGGGGATGAAACACTCAGAACACGGAGACGTGGATGAAAGAGAGATAAAAGATCTGGAAAATAGAAAGAGAGAGAGAGAAACACACAGAATACAACGTATAGTTAATGGGACTCGATGGAGGATGAAAAGAAGACAGAAACCGCGGAGAAAGGATAACGCGAGTTTCGAAAAACGGACGAAGGATGAAGAGAGAAAACGGAGGAAAGAACGTATATTTGATACAAAGAAATTGGACAGCTGTGTGTTCAAACGGTTCGACGAAATATTGCAGAATGCAATACGGGTGGCAAAGCAACAGTGGTTAAAAAGTGATGCGCGTCGAGCGAATATGTGCTCGCGAGAATAGAGAACAGAGAAATATCGCGCATGGAAAAATGTAAGCGAAATCGAGAGGAAACACAAGCAAATTACGTATAATGAATAGAAGAGAGAAAGCGAGAAAGAGAGAGAGAGAGAGAGCGCGCCCGGAAATAGAAAGAGAGAAATTTACGTGGCGACACTCCAAAAGTGCGCCGGCGGATAAATTTCCAAAAGCTATAAAGCAGATCGCATTTAAACTCTCCGAAAGAGAGATGTGTACACGAGGAAACGCCGGAGAGAGCGAGGAGAAATAGGAGGGAGAGAGGTTGAAACGCGCGTCGAGAGGGTTCTTCCAAATTCGCGCCGACGCGAGCGCGAGGGAAAGAGCGCGCGAGCAACGGGATGCGCGGCGAGCATCGGGGGATGGTGGTCCGCGGCGGGGGTGGAAGAGAACATTACAGAGAGACGGAAAAGCCAAGAGAGAGAGACGGGCGAAGCGCGAGAGCGAGACGGGCGGAGGAGAGAGCGAGGCGGAGGGAGTGCCAGGAGGCCGAGGCTGCGGTGTAGCCTCACTGCCGGCGCAGTGATGGCCGGGCCATCGTGTCCTGTGCCCGGGTCTCTCTGTGCGCTCTCTTCTCTTTTGATCCTTCAACAGTCATACGGACTCTGCACAATATCGTTTTCGCCGTAATCATCATCGTCGTCGTCGTTGAGTCTTTTTCACACGCGCGAGGCGAAGCTTCCTTGCTTCTCCTTCAACGTGGTGATCCTGCCAACGACCCTCCCTCTGCCTCTCTCTATCTTTCTCTTTCTCTCTCTCTTTCTATCTCTCTCTCTTTCTCTCTCTTTCTCTCTCTCTTCCTCTCGTCCTCTCACCCCTTCTCTCTTCCCTCTTCTTTCTCGGTCTTCTGGTCGTCGAGAGTCGACGATCGAACGAATCGCGCGGCGTTCGCGTCCTCGATGAGAGCCGGCGCGACGCGACGTGGTGCGACGACACCCGGTCAAGTCGTCTTCTCGCCGAGAGACGCGATCTGACTTCTTGGCGCGTTACGACGAAGATACAAAACGCGATTCTCTCTCTCTTTCTCTCTATCTCTCATTTCACGTTTGCAAGCTACACGAATGGTAACACTACACGGGGGTGCGTGAGATTACCGTTGCTAAAGATGATGTAAAACTGCCGACGATACGGCAGTATACAGTTAAAAAACGCGGAATTTATAGTGACTAACGGTGGGCATCCTTTTGCGCTGGGCAACAGCGGCCAACAGGAGGATCGACGTGAAGAGGTGGGAGCCATGCCGCCCGGGCGAGCTTCCCTCGAGGCAACCAGCAGGATCGTCCAGCTACAGTCTTCCTGTCCTTCGTGGCTGTCGGCTCGTGCTCGCATTTGTTAAGGTAAGAAAAAAGAAAGAGAGAGAGAGAGAGAGAGCCAGTGGAACTTTGCGGGATGTAAAAAGATTAAAACTTCGACAAGACAAATAACGCGATTATCGAGAGTTGACACGATCGAGCCGCGCGCAGAACGATTCTGTTTCGTTCTGCTGCGTGAGACCGCAACTTTTAGATGGATTTTCGTTGAAGTTACGTGCGCGAAATAAATGTATTTGCGAGTTTCACGTAGTAGTGGATTTTAATTACTCGAAGCATTTAAAGAATTTGGTGGATATATTGCGGTTGAAAAGAAAGATGTTACTGTGTGAGATAATGGAAAATATTTTTCTTTTTTACTTGTGTATAATCCCCCCAACACAAAGCTTTCGAGACGATAGCGTTCAACTTGTACTTCTTTTATACACAAAAAAAAAGAAAAAAAAACAATGAACTTTTTTAGTTAGTGACATTTAGTTTTCTACTTTTCTTTCGTTAAATGTCTCTCGTTCTCAAGAAGAAATTTTATTCTTCTCCCATTGCTTCTGTAATCTGAAAAATACAAATCCAAACTTATTACTGCTCTTTGACAAAACTGCAAAATTTATTTGATAACGAGCTCGCTCATTTATCTTTGGTTATAATTACGCGTGAGAGAGAACTCGTGCAGTTTTCAAGCTGCAGATTCCGCGCGACTGCTGATTGGAAGACGTTCTCTTCCCTCGCCATATAATAAAAGTCAAGAAGATTACTTTGAGAAACTTGGTCCTAGAAAACGGCGATTCCCAGAAACCGTTTGATGAATTACGTTTCCCGTGATATTTCCCACATCCGGAGCAATCGCGAAGTCGATCGACTTTCCGATCCAATTTTTTTTTTCCCGTTGTATATGCACACAATATTAAACAAAAAAAACTCGCAAAATTCGCTTAATTTTATTCGGATCATATGATTCTACACACGTAGTCTCTGTTGCTACGTGATACTTTTGTGATGATATTGCTGTCTTCTGTCAATGACACGCACAGCAATGTCTCTCTAGTTTCTAGTCGAACAATCCGGCGCAATCCTCGGAGACCATCCATCGCTTTTGAGATAAGACGCGTCGTCGGCGACAACGATCGGCTTTCCGCTGCTTTGCGGCTTCTCAGGAACGCTAAGATTTGACTGTTCTTCTTCTTCTTCTTCTTCTCCTCAGACGATATCTTCCGCTGAAGATGTTCACCAGTCCTTTTTATCGTCTAGCTCTGGCGTGACTCGTCCTCGTTTGCACGGAATCGCGTGAGAACTGTCGACAGTTCTTGTTAGTCTCTTCCTAATTCGGCAGGAATTTAAATCTCGCGATGGTATAAAAAAAAAAAAAAAAAAACGAGCCATTTTTCTCACGCGAAAGATTCTGCAGAATCCTCACCGTGTAATTGAGAAGATTAACGTGATTATTATAAATCCATAAATATCTTTAATAGAAGCGTGTAAATTTGGAAGAAGATTTTATTGTATAAAATGGTCGTTCCGAGAGAGATGTTCCAAGAGGATTGAAAAATCCCGTTTTTTTATGAAGGATTATAAGATTTTGAATATGTATAACAGAAAGGTACTTTATTATAACAACATAAAGTAACTTATTTTTATTAAATCGGCTTTTCGCATCGACGATCGTATGTTGTTATATATTAGTTATTATTATTGTTCGTAAAAAAAAGTAGACAATATCCTCTGTTTTTGCTCGAGTAAAGACCTCTTTCTTTGTTATATATTATTTTCAATACAACAAGCTTTGATATTATCCATTTTTGTCACGGGGAAGATACACGTTTCCTCTTCCATTGGTTCTTATCGCTTTCAAATGTAAAATTGACGTATACGATCTCTGATCAAAGAAACGTCTTTCTCTCTCGGATTAGCTCGTTTGTCACTCGTGTGCGTTATATTTGGGCGCGCAATTCGACTCTGACATTCGGTCTATGCGCCCGACATGATGCTCTTGCAACGATACAGACGACGCGCGAATTAATTAGTGGAAGTCCAAACATGAATCATGATGTAGCGCACAATACGCGTGGACGTGAAAACGTCAGTCCGTCCTATTATTACCTCGGAGGAATTTTGGTCGGCACGGCGAGGGGTTTTGATGAATCCGCGCGGACAGAAATTGCGCGCGTGTAAACGAGAGAAGTTCACGCTACCTCATGACGTTTTACGAAAATTTATCAATACAGATTAAAATTTTTCCAATATGTGACGCTTCGGCGAGTAAACATAAAACACACGCGTTGCGCTATAAAAAAAAAAAAAAAAAATATCGAGGAATTATCTTACATTTTTTTAGAACAAAATACACATGAGTTTTAGTAGTAAAAACTTAAATATAAAATAAAAGTAACAAAGTGCAAGTAACAAGTGAAATAAAAAATAGAGAAGGAGAGAGAAAGAACGAGATACTTGCATCATCTTTTGCAGTTTATATTTTTATGCTATATGTATATATATGTAACATAAAACAACAATTATTGTGATTGGAAAGGGTTTTTGATATTTACTTTTGCTTGTCACATATCGTACAGCTTTCATCTATCTTGATATTTGAAATAAAACACTCTTGTAGATTCGCGGAGCAATATTTGCCGAGCGACGACGCATTGAAGATTACTCGAGGCTCGAGGTATAGTCGTTTGAAAAACACGACGACTCCCAGGAGATAGGCTCGTTCCATTCTTCTCGTAGCCGTTTAAGACAATGCGAAGGAAGAGACAACAACGTTCGTTAAAATCTCTTGTTTATATCTTGAAATAATGAGAGCGGCAAATTAGTCCGCCGCGAATAATACGAACTCGTCATAATCGTTTATTATCTACAAGTTCTCATTTTCTTCCTTCGTTATATATCGTACATATTTTACTCAACACTTTTCAACGCGTCGTGTTTCCGAGAGAGAGCGCGTTTATTTCGAGAATTACATTGAAATAACGAAAAAAAAAAAGGCAAATAACTCAGTATATAGTTTAAACTTTGCTAAGCGTATTAAATTGATGCGATAATTCCCGATAATTGCGTTATCGACATGCGCGCGCAAGTACCTAATTAAACTAGCCAAAGCTGTCTGAATTATGGTGGCGCACCTTACGCCGGGAGAAATTCCGACTAATCGAGTGACACGAGTTTTCAACTTCGGTAACCGCGCGTGCGGCGCTGACAAAGTTACTTTCTCTCTCTCGTATCGGACATCGAATCGGTGATGTCGAATTCCTAACACTGACCGCCTCGCGGAACGAGCCATAATTTCTCTTGACAGGGGCACACTAATTTCCTTTAACAAAAAAAATCGCGCATTCGATTCGCGCGTTTCTACTCCCGAGCAAATGCGCACGGCCTGTTATTTCCGGTCTTGCGCGAGTATTAATTTCCCGTCGTAAACTTTTTGAATCTCACGACGTTCACACGGATTAATGTACAGCATAAAAACGCCTTGTTTACGGTGTACCGTTATCTCACATCGCTTCCTCTCGTCCTTAATGGAGATTTTTAAAAACGGAAAAATATTTGTAAAATACGAGAGAGAGAGAGAGAGAAAGAGAGAGAGAGAGAGAGAGAGATAGAGCGCGCGCGCAAAAATATCTCGGTCGGCGACAGAGTTAATTTTATACGCATTTGCGGACGACGACAGTTCGGAACGCGTTTGTAGTGTGCGCATCAACGCGAGAGCGCGCGCAAAAGCATTAATACCATTAATTTCGCGAGTCCGACTCGCGTGATTTCCACCTCGTCCGCGTTTCGCGAAACAGACGCGCTAACGCGGTCTGCAAATTGCAGTTTGAATAAAAGTTAACGCGCGCGCGCGCGCGCTGGAAAATGAGGCTTCTTATGCCCGTTAACATCGAGCAAACGCACGCGGTTTTCTCTCTTCTCCGAGTTTTAAATCTTATCGCGCGATACGTTCATTATATTCCCGGCGAACGCAAATGTAATGTGCGGAGAATTGGGACGCCGTAACCCAACAAAGCGCGCGTGTACAGCGGCTGCGGAAATTGCAAACAGTAATAATTCGCGTTAGAATGGCGGTAAACGCGATCGATGCCGATTAAATTCGCTCGCTCTCCCGAATAAGAAATCCCGCGATGACGCGTTCTAATTTAATACGAGAAATTTTCCGCTGTAATAAGTTGCGTATACATGTACATACATATATTTTTCCGCGAGATTATCTTGGCGCTAAACAAATTTTTAGCGCGCTCAGAAATGATATTTCTGCGAAAACTTTTTTTTTGTTTTTGTTTATAGCCAATCCGCTTTCAACGATTGTGAACTTTTTCTCTTCTGTCCAATACAAGTTCAACGTTGAGAGAACACAACTTGTTCTGATCTCTCTCTCTCTCTTTCGGATATCTTACGTTTTCTATTATTATTGTGTTATTATTATTATTATCATCAGTATGTGGTTTCTGGATCCGATATCGGACAGAACTCGGGGAATTTCAGCGACAACGCTATCGATGACAAGGAAAGCGGATATTTCCGGATACTCCGAGCCCGGACGAAATAAGGGAAGAGAAGGGATTCGAGGATGAGGGAAAGTATCCAATCAAATGACGGAATAAAGTGTTGCTGTTCAAACTTCTCATCGACGTTCATAACCGATTAATTAACGACAAAGCATAATGCCATTTAATTATCGAAGATTTGCTGGAAACTAGCGCGACAGATTACGCGCACCGGCCTATTTCCGATATATGCTTAGCGTAATAAACCTAATAGTGCGTCATTATTGTCAATTAGATCTTCTGTCATTCTGTCGAGAGAAGAGAGAGAGAGAGATAGATAGATAGATAGATAGATAGATAGATAGATAGATAGAGAGAGAGAGAGAGAGAGAGAGAGAGCGAAAGTTGGGAGTTTGCAATAATTCCACCGACAATAAGCGACATGAAATCCAATCCGTACATTACAATCATTTTTCTGTCGAAAAATGATTTATTCTAGCGGCTGTGTATTTCGCATATTTACCCACTCGAATTATTATCTCGCGAGTG